TCTGGTCAGCCTTGCCAACGGACCGGAAGAGCAGCGCCTTACCACTGCATACCTCATCTTCCTTAAAGCTTGATTTACAAATCTGCAAGATGCTGACCTCGTCCATTGTATCTATTGCATTTTGTATAAATGCTAACAGTTCGTTAGCTATGAGTTGCTGGGAGCTCATAGCCGTACACTCGCACAACGGCTGTTGCCGTGTGAGACGCGAATTAATAACTTCTCACGGCACAGTGGCGCATACTCTATGGTGGCGCACGTCCGTTTCCAACCGTGCATCGCACCACACTTATACAATGGACAAAGTTCAGGTGATAGTTGGCATGGCGCCGTCTTACGTCAAAGTGATTACGTCATCCGTCAACCCCCCGCTGGGTGGGAACGATTGCATTGTTTTGCCGATTTCTCTTTTATTTCGTAAGAATACCCCACACTAACTATATATATTTGGATTCTTCATAAAATTTACTATAAAACAGTGTCTATACAATGCGTCATGTCTATAATCTATTTTAATTACGTTACGGTAAACTCGGGAAAGTTAAAAAAAGTCGTTTATATGGGTAAAATAGGGTATATTTTCAAAATTTGTAAATTTTTAAGTCCAGGTTTTTTGGTTACTTGCACATTCTATTATAACTTACCAAATAAAATCATAAAATACCATACTCTGATAATTTAATTTTACACTATAGCTCTGACAACCACGTGCTCATTGTGTAAACAAAGACGCGTCACAAAAAAAAAGGCGTCGGGTTTCGCCTCGGCGATAAGCGCAGACGGGCGGCCTGAGTGCCATGATTTATGGGTTTACGGTTAGCTAAGATTGTAAACATCACTTTAGAAACAAGTGTGGCATGAATAGTACTTTGTTTTTTTATAGTTCTAAGAACTTACAACAAGGCATTTTAAAATCGCCTACAAAGCAGTCATCTCAGTTTTATGTCGATAAAACGAAAAGTATTTACAATTTTGATAAACAGTTTCTTTTTTCAAAATGTACATTAAATTTGCTTTAGAATAAACAAAAACTAATCACTAGTTCGCATACAAGAAAATAATATGAAAAAATATTTCGTTCGAATATTTGAATTTAGAACGACCGTTACACTGCGCGGCTTTTGTTTTTTTTTTATTTCTTCAAAAATACTAACGCAAGAGATTCTCTGTATTCGAAATATTAATCATGGATAATGTATTCAATAATTATAAATTAAAACATTACAATTATTATCGAAATTATCACCATGAAAACATAAGACACAAACCCTTTGTTTTTATTGTTTTTTTTTTACGAGGGATGTAACAAAAAAATTATAAAAAAAATAAACACGTAAACCCGCACACGAAACATCAAAATAGAGTAACTTAATGTATTTAACTTGCCCAGAGATGGTGTTTTTTAAAAAAAAAACCACTGAAAAACACTTTAAATAGTCTGAATACACGGCATATTTTTTTTCATACAACAAACGGCGACCGACGAACTTCCACAGACAACAGTATAAATATTTCATATGGCAGTTGACTTAATCAATGGCTAGATAGCTAGCCTGTTCTTTCCTCTACAAATTGATACAAGCATGTAGGTGATAGCAATAAGAAGGAATATTTTAATTGCCACTGATTACGTAGAGTCGCGCGATGCCGACTTTCGGCATGTCATCACTTGACGGTTTATTGACAGATGCCGACTTTCGGCATGTTATCACTCGAGGGGTTACGCTATGACACAATTTCGTTGTAAAAATTAGCTTCCGTTCCATTCTGCGGGCGGTATAAATGGAGCTTTAGGCGCTATGCAGACGACGGGTTAGGGGCGGGCTTTTTGTCCGCGAAGCAATAAAAACCGCGTCTGTCCGTCGATGTCTGCGGCTGCCCTCGCAGCGTACACAAAGCACACGATGGGCAGAGGCAGTCAATTCAGGACGTTCATTCTAGTGAATAGTCCATCACTAAACAAGCGCGTGGCGCGGACTGAGCTAGCCGCCCCGCGCCGCCGCAGCGCCGTCTGCGTTACTGCATATAAACTGGTTTGCCCGCCCAGTGCCCGCCGTGCACTTGCGGCGCGGTCTTTTTGCCCTCTGTGTGCGTTTGAAGTATAGGATTCACTTTGGGCTATTATTCGCGGCGAAATTGACCGGCTGCCCCGACGTCTGCAAAGCGCCTTAAGGTTTCCTTCATCCACCTTGCTATAATTGACCTTTCTACAGCGGCATCGAGACTACTGACGGAAGGTAAAAAAACTGCAAACTTGTCTGAGATGGTTTACGTTTATTTTAATTCAATGTCCGTTAAGTAAATACACATAGAATTATGAAAAATATTAAGTACATTATAGTTAAGTACTAACATAATTTGTAAGATAAATAAATAAAATATAGGTCGAAGTAATAAAAAGTCGAACTCTAAATAGAAAAATAGGCAAACTCCACAGTATTACAATGTACTTTAACGTAGTTACCTAGTGTTGGGTAGGACACGACTTGAAAAAGAGTTTGTAAGAGTAGCCTCTTTTTTGTACTGAGCCAGTACAATGTCCCACTTCAAATGAGGCGAGGCGTACAGAAGATCGACATTACGTTTGTGTGCACGATTAGCACCTCCTCTACGCACTATCAATCTTGCTGGATCCAGCATGCAGGACAGCGCTATACACGTAAAAGAGATAGAGATACAGATGGATAGTGCGTAGAGGACTTAAATGAAATGTGCATGACATTTCACATTTCATTCGCTCTCTCTCTCAGACTTACGAAGAGTGAGTGAGTAACTAGACGCGACTATCGCGACATTTAATGTGAAGTAGTACATTTTAAAATTTTGAGCCGCTCTTACATTTTGACGTCATGTACGGGACAAATGTACCGCCTCTTGTAAGTCCTACTCAACACTATAGTTACCTGTTACAAATAAAAAATCGGCAGGCAGCTAATTGTCTAACTTCAACTACTCTCTTGATACCTTTCAAACTTTGGAAAGGTATTTGCATAGGTACTTTTAACTCAATTGAAATTTGTAAAATATTTCAATAAAGATAGCCGACAGTATACGTACTGACGGTAAGTAAACTGTCTGTCCCAAATACAAATACATAATAATGTAATTTTAACAATGTTTATTACAGAAAATAGTAGGATTTATACGTTAATTTACTTACAACAACGTGTGATGCGATTTAGCACAGAATACAGTTACTTACTCTGAAGAAAATTTGATATAACATTCAACAGCAACCACCATGGATTTTTTGGCACATGGCAGCGACTAATGAACGTTTTATTTTCACCAGACCAAAGGCTGTCCCTGTTTTTGTCGAAGTTTGTTAACGCACACGCAAACAAGTCAACACGTGTTTTTTATGCTTTTATTAAAATCCAACGAGTAGAAAAGGTAAAGACCAAGGTTCATTTCTACAATAAGTACCAAACAATTCCGCAAATAGGTGGTTTTCAAATGTGTGCGACAACAATCGAGCCTCTTTTTTAACATGTTAAGTTTAATTTGAAAGATATTTGAAAATAAACTCAATCCAACCAAGTAATTAGGTGAATATATTTCAAATTCCAAACTGAACGGTTTATTGTGATACGAGTTAAAATTAAGACATGTGGGTTATTTATAATTAAAATTAAGGGTCTCAGGCAGACTGTCTAGGTACATTTCTTTTTTAATAAAAACACGTGCAAACGATCTGGCAGCGGATATCTACCTATTTTGTGCGCTCTGTGGTGTACAATAGCTACATTCTAACGTCAATGATTGCTGTAAAATGTTTTCATTTTTTATTTGCACTAAAGTAATAGGTACCTTAGATTTCGTACAATATTCATAATCTAATCACTTATTCGCCTGTATAAATAAAATACCTGAAGTTCAATGATAATTGAAATTACATAATAATTACATATTAATTATATTATACTTTTCGGTTTTAATGTACAATGTGTATTTGTCATGTTCATTTGTTTTAATGATACATAATTTACGGTTACGGTATTTTCTGTCTTACGCCTGCAGTTGTTTTGCAATAATTTCTTCTGTATCTGACGAATTTGGTTTCCGATACAAAGCGCTGTTATGTTTAATGTTGATAAAAAAAACTGTCTCCACATAGGCCAGAAAACACCTTTAATGGGTCAAGTCTCTAATACTGTTTGCAATTAGGCACACATATACACGGGTGATACTTACAAATTGAGAATATTGTACTTAAAAGTAACCTAAGTTATACATGGAACATTTAAACGAAATAAAAAAATTTTTTTTGTTTAGTAGAGTTTTTTCATTAAATTCGTGTGTCTTTTTGATTTTCATACCCTTTTCGATAAACTTACTATAAAATAAATGCCATTTTCAAATTAAATATAATTGTTGTAGGTACACAATATATGCAGTTTATCACACATCTTACTCTTTTACATACTTCAAATACTATGATTATCTAAGATTACAAACACTTTCACATTCTTATACTATCTATAGGACGGTATCAAAACAAAATTATGAAGCAATGTAAGAAATAAACTTAGGTGTACATTACTTTCGTATTAACGGGAAACACCGAACTTAACTCAACTTCGAAGAACAAAGTCGTGAAAAGAAAATGCGTTCAGCCGCAAAACATACTAGGTAGATATTTTTAGTTCACTTACATATATTTAATAAATTAGCCAAGAATATTACGACTACTCGAAACTGCTTACTCAATACCTGTTATCTTATTAGATACATTAAAATATCCATAGTAAATCCTATTCTAGTCTGGACGATAATTTGGCCACTTGTCTTTTACTAATTATTTTAATTAATTAAGACAAATTTTACCAAAGCTCCTTTATATTGCAAAGAAAACATTACACACCTATGGTGTGATACAAAAATACATATTAATTACGGACTGTATACATATTGTCATTGTTATACAATAAGCTATGAGAACATCTCGAATGATAGTTAAGAATCTAATAAGTATTATTAAATTTTAACGAATTTATTAGCATCAGCAAATTAATTAAATAACTTTAAATGTATTTAATATAAAAGGGCGTTATTACATGATAAGCAAATTGGGTTCTCATTAAAGATATTCGTCTTTTATTTACTTTTCATACTTTGTACCATAAAATGCAACTCCTTATAAGTTAAATATACCAAGGAACACGATAGAGCAGCATCAAAATATTACATTTCGCTTCACTTAATCAGCAATAGAGGTTTCCACAAAAATAAATTTATATCCCATGCCATTGTAGTGTTACAAATCGTATAGTACCGCTCAATCGTGCTTTACTGATCTGATCGGGTATCATCGGTTATAATAAGACTAGCCTAAGCTCGTGGAATTGTGATGGAAACATTGTGATGCTTGTTTACGCCACCGATGGGCGTCCGTCCAGCATTTTATCGCTTTCTTCGGCACTGCTCAAGCTGAAAACAATAAAACGTTGATAATATTTTATTCAGATTTATTATATTAAATGCTTAAACCGAGTTGTTGTAATAGCAGCGCTCCTGTTTTCAAATCCCTTTTATTTTATGTTATGAGCACGTATTCTATTTGTTACAGAGTAATTTTTGTCTAGGCATATCATTATACTAGCTGTGCCCCGCGGTTTATTAGGGATATTTTCCCGCAGCAAAACGTAGCCTACGTGTTAATCCAGGGTGTCAGCTAACTCCATACCAAATTTTATTAATATCTCTCCAGCCGTTTAGATGTGAAGAAGTAACAAACATACACACTCTCAAACCTTCGCCTTTATTATTGATTAAGATATAATTGAGTTTTATACCACTCATATCATACGTATTACTTTGTTTACTTGTTAATAACGACTATAGATGGACCTCACGCTTCTTTCAAACAAGCAATATTTTTATAAAGATTATATAACTTTTCAGGAATATACAGCTACCTCACACGGTGGGAAAGTATATTAAATATTGAAGATAGGACATTTTACTGAAAGAAGACATCATTTTATTTTTAATAATAACTACAACTGCATTCACAGATTTTTTTAAAATCGCCTGCTACGACTGGGAATCAAACTCGTGACATTTCGAAAAAAATAACTCGGCATATTTTATGATAACCATCGAAAGGGTTAATCATACGGATTATTTTTTGCTTATTAAGCAAAAATTAAATAGCATATTAAATGAAAGGAATGTGAATTACGTCATAAAAATAATAAAGTGATATACAAATTGTAGTACGTATGCATTTGTTTTTGAATTCAGTTACAATGCGATTGGCTGTTTGTAATAATAAAAATTGTATCAGGTGATTTTAAAAAAAAAACTGTGAATGCAGTTCTAGTATTATTAAAAATAAAGTCTTCTTTCGGCAAAATATCTTATCTTCAATATTTAATTTAATATACTTTCCCTCCGTGTGAGGTTGCCGTGGGACGCCCTGTATTTCTTATAGAAGGCTTACTTCTGTGTCCGCATACCCATAGCCCCTTATTAATAAACGAAGAATAGACTTACACTAGTTACGGCGTATTTTGTTCATGTCACTGAAATACCATTAGAGGAGCTGGTGAACAAAACGGCATAATTACGCATCTGGTGAAACTACTTTTTTTTTACAGTCCGGAGGTCACGGAGCCGTTGAATTTGAATCTCAAACAATTTTCAATCAAAACCACCTTAAACAGTGTTAAAATTACTAAATGTATTAATTAAAAACTATGCCAAAAGCGCACTGTAGGTGTGTCAATTAGTTTTACACAGCTCCTGTAATATTTAATACTGTTTTGTTCGCCAGCTTCTCATTTGTCATTTAACAAAAATGAAGTAACTAATCCAAGTTTATTCTTCTTCTACTAATAAGGGTGATGGAGCTCTGGCAACTTTAAGTATGTATACAACAGTGTTTTTAATTTATTTGTGTGCGTGTGAAGGATAATTCACACGCACACACCACACGTGCGTTAAAATAGCAAGGAACACATGATACCAGTTCTAGCTAGGTAAACACGAAGCGAAACAATAGGAATTGCCGCATGATCTTTAACATCAACATTTGATGTCGTCCGTGTCACAAGTTACTAGTGATATAACAGCATGTCGGTTGTCAGTACGGTTACCAAATTTTTCTATCAAATATAGTATGTGGTTTAAATATCTACTTTATTTTTGCTCTTCCATGCCTTAATTTTTTTTTTATTTCTAAGAACGCTTTTACTTGCAAAAATCTGCTTTTAGCAAAATATAGTAGTTTCGCCTACTATATATTTTTTATTTGATCCCTTATTATAGTAGGATTGGCAACCCTAGATGTTAGTACTCTGACAATGGCCTGTTATTATGTGCGAGCTCCATTAAACAAGTAGGCATAAAGTACGAAATTAGAAAACCTTAGCGGACGCAAATAAGGCCGCCGACGTGTTTACGTTTTCGAATGCCCACATCACGAAATGATCACGCGTGGGAGTAATAGCTGATTCCGCAGCGCAAATGTTCGACAATTTTATTATCATAGAGTTGGGAAGAAAGATATTTACTGAACCACTCCCACTGAACTAATCCATAAATTACTACTGGTGTGGTGTGTCGTGTCTAGTAACAGTGTTTGAAATATGCTTGCGACACTTTGCCAGGTATAATTATAGACTTGATTAGCGACTGCCCGCGACTTCGACTGTGTTGATTGGATTTATATACAAACTTATATTATTGCGAGTAAAGTACCCTTCCCGTGGTTTCATCTATGTATATATCAATTTATTACATATTCGACTCAGCGGTTTACTTTTCGCATTAATGCAAAACGCACTTAATTAGTTTTTGAGCATCCCACAGGAACCTAACATTTGCCGGGCTAAAGTATCCTATGTCTCAATTCAGGCAATTAACTACATATATGTGTGCTAAATATCATCCAAATCGGTTTAACCATTTATGCTTTTGATTAAGTAAAAACATACTACTACCTGTTCGCTTTGAGTTGGTCGTCGATAAATGACATCAGAGGCACATCAATTGGCACCGTCGCCGCGTCGACCAATAGGGTCGACTAATAGGGTGTGCCTAGGAGCGCGGTAAATTATGGAGGGTGGGAGCGGCGAATACGAAGCGAACACGTAGTACAAACTTTCATATTTATGATATAAGCGGATGTCCGCGACTTCTTCTGCGTTGACTTTAGTTTTTTGAGAATCCATCCAGGTATCTAACATTTTTTCGGGATAAAAAGTATCCTATATCTCTTCAGGTTACAAGCTGCCTGTATGTAAAATTTCATCCAAATCCGTACAGCCGTTTTTGCACGATTGAAACATACAAACTTTCACATAATGTTAGTAGGATGTAGGATAGTCAGTATGTATTACTCACCATTCCTTATTGTCCATGAGGTTGCGCATCTCATCATCTGGGGCGGGCGGTGCGTCCCTCACCGGCGCGTACTGTGCCGCTACCAGGGGGTCGGTCGAGGGGTTCAGAGCGGTGAGCGCCGCGGCCCCGCTACTGGGAGCCTCCTTACCACCGCCCCATCTAGAGGTCCAGGCCCAGCCACCTACGCCTGTCAAAAAACAGAGTGAACGTTAATTAACTCCTAGCTGTTCTATATGCCTTCAACATAAAGTCGACAAGAAGATGTGGATTATAGAAATTTTCGTAAAAAAAGATTCCTACCAGTACCAGTAAAAAAAACAATTAATATAAATCATGAAATATCAATTAATCAAAGACGTAGGACATGATAGATTATTTTTCGAAAACCCGTGTGTGTTGTGTTACTGTATACTTTAGTTTAAACTTATCTCCCCTTGCTCGGGTAGTAGGCTTGAGCTTGAGCAGTGTGTCTGTTTGTATTGTTAGTATCGAAGATGTCCAGAAAAAAGTTTCATATCATGGCTTTAGTATTGGTATATTTAAAAATGTGGTCAAAGCACCTTATTTTAAGGACACTATTTAAAGGCATGCTAATAAACCCTCGTTCGATAGAATATATACCCAGATTATTTTTTTATTTCATTTCACTCTTTTAAACACAATATAGCAACTACATAATTTGAAATTTTTACAGATGCCAACCCCTAACTTAATGTATGTGACAGACAATATGTAATATTTCTTGATTTTATTGAAACTTTTGCGCATGCCAAAATTAAAACGCATAATCTGGAATATACTGACTACCATGTGTAAACATGTAAGTAAAATACATCCAGCTGATTTCGACCTCGACGTTCGATATTGCTTACATTTACATTGCAATATAATGAAGTATAAGGATAATTTACATTATTGTAGAAACTTGAAATAGAGCGTGATATTGGAAGGACGAGGAGCTTGATGGTGCAATGGTTTTTCTTTTGAGTGTGTATGCTGTTGGTCGCAGATGACCTTTATACAGCGTCACCGGGTTTGGGGACGGCGAGATCATAAGGGGACCTCAAGGCGAGAATTGGCGAGTGACTTTAGAGGTATTACAGGCGGATGGCAGCTCCCCGCGGGGGGAGTCTCTAGACCACTCGAACCTGAGGGGCTCGCAGTGGTTAAGTACTTTTGGTTTACGTTTACATTGGTGTCGATTCTGGCATATTTAGCCAAACTTAAACTCAAATTTGACAATAGTGCATTCTTGTCATTCTCTATATAGAATGATAAAGAGAGACTAATGTTAAATTTAGTTTTAAGTTTAGAGAATCATGTTTGAGTCGAATCGATTACCTATATTTAACCTGTATATTTGTATACATATAAGTAACGGATTCTTTCAACATAATTTATTACCAGTTCAAGACAACAGATTCGACTGAAACTCTGCACATTTATCTAGGTTTGGTGACAATATACAATAATTTGATAGGTAAAAGATAAAAGTCTTAAAGGTCTTTGGTACATTTATTTATTTAAACTGAATTGCCACATTTACAAAGAAATGGATAAAAAGCGAACCTAACGCTAAAAGAATTCTCTGCCATTGACTGGCAAAGAATCTTTAACATTTCTTCTGCCAATCAATTTAGTATGTATATTGAATATTTGACCTCTTACACAATTATTTACGTTCATAAATATTACTATGATTTTATCCTACGAAAAATGATATTCATAAATTCAATACTAGAAACAAACATTTATAAACAAACTTCCTGTTCGAATGTTTAGATTGGGAAAAACATAAAGCTGATTCTTGGGGAAACGCATAGCTTTATGATGATGAATTGCCTCCTTGTCCTTCATAACTGAAGAGCTGGCGAACAAAACGGTATAATTACGCATATGGTTTCGACCATACAATACTTTATTTTTATAGCCCGGAGGTTTTGGGCCAGCTGAATTTGTATTTCAACTCATATCAATCAAAACCACCTAAAATAGTGTTAAAATTACTAAATTTTAAATCACGCCAAAAGCTCACTGTAGATATGTCATTCAGTTTTTTACTGCTCCTGTAAAATTTAATTTGATGTAATTATACCGTTTTGTTCGCCAGCTCCGCAACTATGATACAGTTGTTTTGACCATTAGGGGTCCTCTTTGCGCTGTGTCATAGACACACAAAAGAGGGTTTGAAAGCAAAGTGTCATCTAAATAACTAGACACAAAATCAAAATAACTCAACAACCATTCATCGACATAGTAGTCGCAGCGGAACCACATTTAGTAGTTTCCGTTCAAAACGGAAACCCATTAGACACTCACACAGTGTACATCAAGAACTTAATCATTCTGCACCATAACCAACCGCTACGCACGATGCGTGCCCAGAAAAATAAGAACGCGTTTATTTAAACGAAGCCGTAGTAAAATATAGCTAATAGTAATACTTTGAGATAGTGAGAAATATTAAAAGGTATTTCTATTAATGCATTTAGTATAGCTCGAGTCAATATTACCATTTTATCTTTGTCATCGTTTATTTGAAAATGAAAATAAATTAGAACCTTAGGTATGGAATTTTTCATTTAAAATAATCTGCCAACAACAGCGACCTAACCAGGACCTACAGAGATTTGGTTAAAAATATTTAGTTATCTATTACGGCTGAGCAAAATAACTATTCAGTTACCTACTGTTATTTTGAATTCGTAGTTATAACGTTCATAGCCTGAATAACCGAACGTTGACAACTTGACAACGAAATAATAATAAATTAATAAATATTTCCAACACTCAGACCAAGTTAGCCCCAAAGTAAGCACTGTAGACTTGTGTTATGGGATACTAGGGTAACGGATAGAATACATAATTATAAAGATCAATTTATTAATTATCATAAATAAGTGAAAATAAAACAAAAATCTAGTTTAAATTTATGTTGCGCTGGTTTTAGGAGTACATAATCTAGTAATATTTATATCCAATACGCTAAATGAACTTCCGTGTCCTTCTAAAAAAATGCCATTAGAAATCTGAAAATAGTCACTGCACAAGGCTTAGGTCAGAGGATATAAACATTATTTTATTTTTGTTTATTTATTTAATTTATTATAAAGGCCAATCACAGCTCGATATATTTATACATGAAAATTTGTTTGTAATTTTATAGGCCAATTACGATCATCTACTTTGTAACATCGAATCTATCTGTATATGTACATATGTGCTCAAGGAAAACCAATTTAACATTAACATAAAATTACATGTATATACATATAAATACAGTGTAAACTCCATGTAATGTCACAAAGCGTCGAAATCACTCGTCTTTGGTTGGTTTAGTTTGTTTTCCATACAATGATACACTCAACATAGCATTACACCCACTCTCAATAACGATAAAGTACCTTTTAAGTTCCCAAAATTAGTGAAAATCGCGCAGCTGTGTACGTTCTTTTGTCGCTTTATTATCCTAGCCCGTAATAAACTCGAATGTCGGCCTCATGCAAACCAAACTTTCTTAGAAATTCGTTCTTTTGTTTACAAATTGGGATTGCACGTGTAGACTATTGTTGACCATGACTAAAAAAATATAATACAACAAAACTACTGGTGCAGCAAAAGACGACAGACAAAAATAACAGAATATACGCAATAGCATTCAAATCAGATTATATTTTATGTACATAACTACTAGCCTCAAATGAACTTTTTCTTTTCATAATTCTGATTTTTCTTTCCATTTAACGACAACTCACTATAACGCCATAAAATGTACATTCCCTTTAGTGTCGTTATATAGAGTATACACTGTACATACATACATATAAATAAATAAAAATATAATTATATGATTATATAAATATGAGGTTAATCGTGCTTTTAATATAACATAAGGAAAAAACAAATTATCCAACAGCTCACAAGAAAAAGAATGAACACTCATGCATGATAGAAACACATTTTGTTTCCGGTCTTCGAAAACTAGACTACTGACTAAGTCCGCTTTACGATCCTTTAGCATCGTCCTCGGGTCTACAAATCGTATATGTAAGTGATTCACAGACCAATTTCTACAACATGAATTTTGAGTTTCTCGAACAAAAAAAACTTGTAATAGTAATACAGTCATACTGTAACATCTTGTGATCTGAGCAAACGGACAGCGCACTGACTACACAGCATCCTTTCATTTGACTTTCATACTCGATGGTTGAGTTGCGTAACACCGTCAATTATTTGGAAAGTTAACTCTCACCAGCTACTCTTTTATCAAAGTCCAAATTGGAATCATACAAAGGACCATTATACCGATTACGCATTTCTTGGTACCAATCTTCTAATATATAAAATTCTCGTGCCACAGTATTTTGTTTATAATAAAACTCCTCCGAAACGGCTTACCGATTCTTAAGAAAGGAGATTGGTCAAATTGGCCTAAATGCAAATAAAATATTGACATATACAGTAATTCTTGGCGTAATTTATACTTTATTTTACAGTCATTAGATTTTAACGGCCACCTTTAAATAATATATTAATTTTAAAAAAGGACTTCTATTTTTACCGGTTTGGAAAACATACGAATCATTTTTATTGGCTATGGGTGTAGTAACATTCACAAAGACTGATCGAGGTTGTTTATATAACATCAAAACAAATCTATTTTGTAAAGATTGATAAAATATATTTTTTTTTATTACACGGGTGGTATTAATATCCACAACTTTATTATCATTTTTACTACATGCAAATGTGCTAAGACAATTAATATAGATGGTAGGCGACATCATAAAGTCTATTGCCGTACATTTTTTGCCAAACACCTAAATAAACACATTATAAGGTGTGATACACTAAAAATCTAAAATATGGTTATAATAAAAACATAACAAAAATAATGAAGCTGCTGAAGATATGGCTGTATAACCTACAGTTCTTAGCTTTCTTTGATTAACGAGAGTTTAAAAATTCTCTCTAATCTGTGGCTCATTCACAATCATCACACAGTTTCTGTTCGTGTTTTTAAAAACATGCACATATCTGTTATTTTACATGCTCTATATACCTGAATCTAATACATAATATCGGTAGGTACTTGGCTTGATTGCCCTATTTTCCTATATAAGTTATTTGGTTTTTATTATTCTAATACCTATGTGCCTATTTGCAAACATAACCTCAAAATCATTCAGTGTATATGGTTTATAGAAGTTCTCAGAAGTGGCCGTCGATAATATTCGTTTCTACGGTAATTTATATATAATTTCGAATGTAGGAAACAATTTTTCATGGTTATTGGTTTTTAGGCCAAACATGTATGGAAGCTGAGCAATCTCCTTTGTGTGTACTAAGTAGGTCTGAGAATAAAAATTCAAAAAAACCTTAAATTTTGACCTTTGACCCCGAACAACCTTTTTAGCACACAAACTAATTGCGTAATTTCGCCTTTAATGTAAATATTGAAGCCAAGGTTTATAAGGAATGTAAAACAAGTTTTTTTTATTTCTTTGATAGTAATGATGGAGGTAACTATATAGTAATGGCAACACTGTGTTACTCTATGTTTTATGTGGTCTTAATAAGAATCATTGTGATTTCAAATTAATGTGTTCTTTATTAATAAACTAAAAGAATACTTACTTACTCTGCAAGCTTACTGATTTGTTATGTTAGTAAGTTTTCCATTGTGAACCTTTAATTGGTAAACTGTTGATAATAACGTTTTTCTTTTCTTGTTAGTGAAACCGTTGGTTCACCCAGCAAAATAGAACAAATATCTCTACTATATCCACTTACCGGCAAAAAGCAGCCCCAGACAAAGAATGACACCTCCCGCTATGAGAGTTCGGAGCCCACATTCCGGGGCCTCGGGAGAGTCTGAAGGTGGAGTATTCGAGTACTGGACTCCCCCAGCGATCGCCAATCCCAGACCTGTGTGCAATAAATAAATACATGAATGTGTATGTAACATTTCAAAACTTTCAATACTCACGTCACGACTAGAAATCTTGAGATAAGAGCAATTTGCGAAATCCTACTACATGTTTGCCTAAATTAGTTCTACTTAAAGAGTGTTCAAATTGTTTCACTGTAGTATTCCATCATAAGGTTTACCTCTCACCGGTTTTTTAGGGTTCAGTAACCAGAGGGTAAAAACGGAACCCTATAATTTGTGTCACTCTGTCGTCTGTCTGTTTGTCCGTATGTCATGGAGCCCTAGATTGTAAACGGAATGAACAGAACTGAAATTTGGTTTTTCATGTAGAATGTTTGCCCAAATCCGAATATTTAGTTGCTGTATTTAAACAAGAAACACTAAAAACGACGATTAATATTGTACCTTGTAAGTTGTGACGAAAACAAGCAAATGATTTGATGGAACCCTAATAGAGCGAGGCCAGACTCGCGCTTGCCCACTATTATTAAATTAGAATTTATTACCTAAAATTTCCGTTATATTAGCGCAATGCATTGGACTAGTTGCGAACGTTGCACCACCAAACAACACACAGAGCAATGAACCAAGTGTGGGCTTTGTGGGCATGAACGGAGTTGTCGTTAATGATTTTTGTTTTCGTTTCACACATATATATACTGTACCTACTAAAAATTAATGAATAACATGATGACATTAGACTTTAGATGATAAGTTATTTATTGAGAGAATTTACTTTTAAGCAACTTAGAGCTTAATTGTTGGCATGGGCCAGCGTTGCCAGACGTCCCAATTTTGGCGGGACGTCCCGATTTTTAAAACAAAATTAAATGTCCGGCGCGGAACATGCTTAATCCCGATTTTCGGGAATAACTCGAAAGTGCATGCAGCGTACTGTGGGCGGTTGGCAAAGACAAGAGTGGACTGGCCGCCTGCTCGGCGCGTAATCAAGAACTATCAAACAAAGACTAAACCATCTAACGATATGATAAATCTGATTTAAAATATCATGTCAGGGTATCGCAATATACAGTACAGTTAAAGATAAAAATTTAAAAAGAAATTAAATAATAAACAGTTATGTATATAAGGAACCAAATTTGTATTAAACCACTTATATCTCAAATTATGCATAAATGTCATCTGATTCCATTTGTTTAACAATATAACTTACTCAATTGATCTTATTAACAGTAGAAATATAATAGAAATATAATAAAAATGGAAATTCATTTATAAAATTAAATTTGTCAGTAATTAAAATTAATAAATATGTCAATAAAAATAAAATAATATGTCAATTAACAGGATTATTATATACTAGGTTTGTTTTTTAAAAAAATCGCCTCATTAGTATTATTTTGTTGTAAAGTGTTCATTTATATATATTAAAAAGTATATTTAAAAGCATTTATCTAATAAATATATTTTCTTTTTAACTTTGTGCATTCATATATTAAATTATTATCTATTTGTAATTTAAATATTCATCCACAGAATAGAAGCATTTATCAATTAGAAAATTTTTAAGTTTTGTATTAAATGTGGTAATAGATTTTTGGTTTTTTATAGAATGTGGTAATTTATTAAATATCTTAACTGCCATGTAGTAGGGGCTATTGCTAAGCATGGTTAGTCTTGATGGGGGATAATTTAATCTATTTTTATGGCGGGTATTAATATTATGTGTTTGGCTAACTTTATTAAACTCGTTAGAATTTTTAAATACAAAACCACATATGTCGTGAGTATATGAATATGCTTGGAAGAGTAAGTATTTTATATTTTTTAAAGAAAGGTTTGCAGCTCATTGTATTGTCTATTTGAGCAAGGATACGAATACACTTCTTCTGCATAACAAAAAGATCATGTGAATTCACACTATTACCCCACAGCATAGAGCCGTACCGCAACCAGGAATAGGCATATGCATAATATGTAGATAGAGGTACCTATCTATTGTCACGTAAACGTAATTTGAACTCAAATAAAAAGATAGATATTCAAAAACTTTTGATTATATACGTTTTTTTTACTATGTCTCGCTTTTGACGAAAGAATCCCGCTTTTTTCAATCAAAAAGTTCCTAAATCCCCACTTGGCAGAAAAAACTCTGGCAACGCTGGCATGGGCGTAGCTAGGTGGAGGCAGGGGTGAGCAATGCCCAACAAGTCCAACAACCCTACAATTCCAAAATTGACTATACAGTTAAAAAAATTCAAAATGAATTTAAGTTTAAATAACTGGACGGCTGTCCCTCCCCCTTGGAATAATTCCAAGCTACGCCAATGATTGGATATTTTAACATTTACTTCCTGTATTCAATTGATACACAAATATTACATGATTTATGGTCAATGGAGAAGAAAAATGGGAATTCTCAACGCCAAAGGCGCTAGGTGCCGAATGGCCCACGTTATCTCAAAATAGATACATTTTTTTGAGATTTAGTTGTTTTTTTCTATCGTGAATTCGTTGTGTGGTAATTTGGTGTATTATACAAATGTTATAACCGCCTTCTCAAGGATGAACGACTGAAAAAGCTATTAATTTAATATAAGGCTGTAAATTACGAATTATTTTTTTTATGTATGGTGCTACGGGTAATGTCACGATTTTAGACATGATAGCCTTCCAATTGTGGTAAAATACATTTTTAATGTCATAAATTTTATGTTCCTGACGAATCCCAAAGTTGTTGGGGAGACAATGGTGAATTTGCTTTATTACCTTTCTGAAATTCGCTTCGATGCACTTCGACCTGCGCTAGTATGAATTGACCATTAGAGTATGCTATTGTCAATTTGTAGCAAAGTCAGAAATTAAGAACGTGATTATTAGGTTAGGTCATTTTCATTTTAAGGATGCCGAGGTAGGTATGCTCTGTTTGCAATTGAGTTGCATTGTTTGTCGCCGAAGGTGCTCATTAGGTCTCCACCATCTAAAATAATGAAAACTTTTTGTTTCCTCCCAGGCGGAGGAGCGAGTGTGAAATCCTCATGGATAATCGCCGATCTTTACTAGTGCTTTTATATTTTTTATAAAAACGTAACGCTCGACTCACGAGGGCGTTGCCGTTGGTATTCGCCGTAACGTTGTGGAACTAATGATATTAGATTTTGTTGCAATGCAAAGTTTTAGGCTATATTGTAGCCTCATCATCAACATCATCTATGTCACTATTAATGTTTTTTTCTAAGGAACTTTCAATAGGTAAGAAATTTTCTTTAACCAAAGTTGAACGACTATTACTCTTAAAGTAACAAATCCATCTTAACCGTTATAATATTCGTTAAAAGTTCGTGAAAAGCGTTATTATCTTGAATTTTCAAGCCAATAGTTTAGCTTTTAAGGAGTAGGGGGACGCCTTACTCGAACAAAAATTAGCACTAAACTTCAATATTTCGCAAACGGATCTCTATATCGAAAAATAGTCTTAGAAACCCCTTAGTAATTTTAAAGGGCCTATTCAACGATATCCCACACGATGGGGTAGAAGATGAAAAAATAATCATCCTCAGGTTACATGTAGGAGAGCAAAACTAAAAAAAAAATCTAACTTTTATTCCACCATTTTGTCGGCATGATCAATATACATATCTCCACAAAATTACAGCTCTCTAGTGCTAATAGTCTCCAAGCAAAACCGTGGACGGACATGACGAAACTATAAGGGTTCCTTGTCAGGACTACGGAGCCCTAATAGAGAAGTAAAGTTTGTGAGGTTGAACGGGGTAATCTCTGGATCTACTGAATCGATTTTTTTTTTTTTTTTACCAATTTCTATTGCCATGTTATTTGTGAGTGTCATAGTAGGCTAAATCTTAGAACATAAACTAAAGTCTACACCGAAGCGAATCGAGGGCGGGCCACCAGTATTGATATAAAAAGAATCATAAAAATAAGTTTACAAATCTCGGAGACGTGCGCGGCAAACAACCTCTTCCTTTTTCAAGTTTGTTAAAAATTACGTATTCCGTTTTATTTGACCGTTTAATTTTTTTTTCCTCCGTATATTGGAGGATCAACCAACCTTGAGTGTATATTTATATCTTACGTAACTTAGTATTATCAAAAATGTTTAGTAAATTTCGCGGATAAACACGTTCTCTTTATTTATTTAAAATGGCAATTTTATGATTATATCATATTCTGTCAGTATGACGTAGACAAAAAACACGTTTGCGTTCCTTTTATTTTAATAATAATTTACAAGAATTTCATAATAGCTCTTTATGTCAATAATTATAACTATCTTTGATTGTACCTAGATAGGACGCGAGTCTGGCATGATTATATAAACTAAAAATGAAAATTGACAGCAACGGATCCTTGTCATGCTTTATGCAGAATGAAAAGCAGAGATTGTTGCCCAATTTAGGTTTAAGTTTACAGAATCAGGCCCACTATACTTACAACGTTAAAACCTACGATGATCATAACTTTGTCATATCTACCGAATAATTGCACTTGTATGCAGTGCACTATAAAAGAACCTCGGGGAGTTGCGAAAATAGGGCAACGCAGCGGAAACGGTCGGTAGTGTACCTACCTACTTCGTGGGTAGCAAACGCATTACTAAATACTTCCACTAGTATCAAGACAATCTCTACAATTTACATAACACCCACACATAAAATTAATATTCAATGGAACATAGATCAATGAAACCTATGGTTCCTGCTCCTACACCATAGCTTTTACAGTAAGGCGGTCGATGGCTAGCGGCACCAGCATAGCGGGCTTTGACCGGATTTTAACAACTTCGCCCGCCATGTGCGCCGGGATTTTTCATCGCTTGGTATTCTAAAGAAAAGAGATGTTTACAAAGGGCACGGCTCAAGGATCTGTGTTTGGACCTCTCCTCTTTCTATCTTACATAAATGCGTCAATGTATTTTGCATAGCTTTTGTTACCAATTCGCCGATGATACATGCTTAGTGGTTGCAAGCAGGGATCCCCAGGTAGCTCGAGATCAGCTTCAACCGGACTTTAATTCTCAAGCGAAATGGTGTCATGATCCTGGTCTTTTCATTAACACCAACAAGACCAAATTGCTAGTAATCAGGTCCCCTTACATTAGGAGTTCCGATGTTTTGGAAAGCATTGTTGGTCACAGTAATCACTGCCTACACCGGCATTAGGCTGGATCTGGTGCTTGTCCTTGCATAGATGTTGTTAATACTCGAGATATTTAGGTTTACTAATATATCATAATTTTAATTGGAATAATCACGTAGATTATGTTTGCAATAAATTCAGACAATTTTTGGCCAACATTATAATTTTAAAGAAAAGAATTCCCTATAAAGTAACAACAATGCTGTACTACTCTCTAGCCGAATCATATATACCTACAATATGGTTTAAGTAGCTATGACCGCACCTATCACACTTATCTAAATAAAATGTATGAACTCCAACTTAAAATTTTATTTTATTTTCCGTGTCTTGCCTGTTCTTATTCAGTTAAAATATTTTTTTATTAAAATGCAATACTTTAACGATGACCTTTAAAAAGTAATAAATCACCCCGTGTACACGCGCGCAGTGGCTATGAACCAGCTGCAGACGGGTCGCGTGTGTAATAGACATGGGCGTTTTTGGTTTTGAACGCAAACGGATATTTATCAGATTTCAGATTTCAAAATCGATTTTAAAATCCGTTTTTAGATATCCGATTTCAGATGGGCCGAACTTAGCCAATTCACTAGTTTGTGTTATGATTTGGTTTTATTAGCTAACGACAATCACAAACAATTAATTGTACGAAGCAAGGATACTCGTAGATTTGCGCGATTTTCCTTTATGCTTTAAATCTAGGCTTAGGCAATTTTAGGCCTTAGGCCGATTTTTAAATGCGCCGCAAAAGTTTTACTTTTAACCGTAAAGATAAGTTTTCTGCTAGTCCTAAGCCACAGAATATATACTATATTCTACTATATACTACTTTATCTAAGAATATATACTATATTCTGTGGCTTAGGACTAGCAGAAAACTTATCTTTACGGTTAAAAGTAAAACTTTTGCGGCGCATTTAAAAATCGGCTTATATACAATGATTTCTTTTTACATATTTTTTTTTGTTTTTCTGTTTGTTTTTATTATATTTCAAACCATTTACAAAATCAAACCTAATTACTTCAGGTTAGCGTTCAAAAAAATGTCAGTTGCTCGACTTTTGATGTTTTTAGAAGACATCTTTTTCAGTAATAAATAATCCCGCCTTAGAGAAGAACAATAGATTTCCGTAAACAGCAAACCGAAATCGGACTTCTGAAAACGAAAGCACGAATTTCGAATCCGATTTATATTTGGATACTTGTGGGGTGGTATTAGATCGCTAGCGTTTTGGTTCGGTTAGATTTCTGAAATCGGATTTTGGATTCGTTTTGATATATCGGCCTAGTGTGTAATGTAGGCGGAAAAAGAACTGCCACCTATCGAGATACTACTACTGCCGAGATTTATCAATGGATTGCCGCTGAAATTACATGATGCTAAGACAAGCTGACCAATTTTATGGTAAATCTACCATGGATTTATTGCAGTTTGATGAACCGCAGAAAACAATTTTTCAAAACTGAGTTCAATAACTTTTTTACGCGATGTTTGACATTTGTACAAAAATGAAGATTTGGAATACCAAGCAATGAATTTTTTATCTTTAAAAGAACAATGCAACCACACCTCGTTGAAGAAAATCGAGTGGATTTACGCTGGGTTGACTTCTTTACGAAATCGAAAGTCAGAAATCCCTGTCCTAAATTGAAAACTAAATGTCACGTTTGTTCTTTTCATTCCTGCCTCTAATGCTTCATGCGAGCGCGTATTCAGAATGAATGGAGCAAGTATGGAGCAAGGAAAGAAACCGAATGAGTATTTCTTTAGCAAAAGCAGAGTTGCAAGTAACAATAAATTTTAAAATTAATTAATGATTTTCTTTGAATATTATTTAATAAACTATTGCATTTAAAATCAAATTTTGAGAACTGTGGTCGAAATGTAAGTGAGTCATTCTTGTGGTACCTAATTACTTCGATGCGTAACACACATTTACAATGAACAGCGAAGTTCGTGATCAGGCAGATCACGCAACAGCCACCGGATGAGTCATATACCAGCCACGACCACTAGAGATTACTGTGACTAGGGCTACGCGAAAAGGGTTACCATATCTGCTCTGTCTATATGGCCTGAAATTGCGACTGGATTTTGTGAATCTCAGGAAATTACAATAAGAGTTGTTTTTTTTTTGTCTTTTTGCTCAACCGTGATGGCCTCGGCGTCAGGCACACGATCACGCCCATTTCTCGCAGAAATTTTTAGGTTATGTGAAAGTATTAATAAAAAAGTTAAGTAGATTTTTTCTAGCTTTCGTATAATTTTGCCATAGACTTTTTTCGATAGGCGTTGATTTCCCGAAAATTGCGTCAAACCGTTTCCCCTCCGTAAAAGGTCACCCCCTATTGAACCTCTCGACCACAAAAGTGTTCTCTTCGTTTTGGTATAGGTTTCATCGTGTTCCAAGTGGGACCTACGGCCTATCTATAATGCTATGGCTAAAGCTTATGATTTAATTTCGTTATTTCTGACCGCCGAAGGTTTTCTTTAATATTGTCATTACCAAAGCAAAACGAAAAAACCGGCCCAGCGCGTGTCGTGCCACGCGCGGTGTAGGATTCCGTAGTTGATCGTCGTCACCACAATATATTTTGGAAAGAGTCTATATTTTAAGCAATTACTTCGTCTAAGTCACTTTTCATATTTTCTTCTAAGGATGTTTAATGTAGAATATTCATTTCATGTACTAAAAGCAACCCTAAAAAAAATATTTTTCAAAATTTTATTCTACCATTTAGTCGGCATGATTGATATACAATTGATTGATTGATTGATTGGCGGTCTGACCGCCGATAACAGTGTAAAGTCAAAGCAAGCTCGATTGGCGGTCAGCCCTCTGGTCTAGTCAATAGTCTAAATAAATAATCTGGTAACCCTACACGCGAGCGGTTGTACCCGCGATCAGCTTCTGCTGCGGTTTACCGCCGGACACTCGATATCCAATAGCCAATAAAGTGAATAGCCATCGGTGGTAATCTTTATTTAATATTGGGTAAAGTCAATTTCCTAATATTACGCAAAAAACTAGAAAATGATTCTCAACATGAAAAGATAAGGTAAACAACGCACGAGCCGCGAACCGCGGCGGAAAACGCGGATGGTCTTGCGGAAACCGCGCGACCGCCATCTACCGCGGTTCGCGGCTCGTGTGTTGTGGCACTTATTTACAATCACCCATGATATCATTTCATTATTATTTAAAATGTTCAAGGGAAATACGTCTTGTCAAGGCGACTCAGCCTGCGCCCTTAATTAATAGTAAAGTTTCGATTGTTCATGGACTACAAATTACACAACCGTCACTCATTATTTAATCTGGGTCACTCTTTTAATGCTTAAAAATAAAGTTCTGAAATACATACTCACTTTAAGTATACTTTCTTAACAGAAGAAACAAAGCACAGTTTCCCTTATTTTATCAATGTTAAATTGTTGTTTTTTTTTGTCATACACTAAGGTTCGACTCACACTGGGGCAGAGTCAAAACGGACTAACAGTGGGAAAATAGAGATGGATTTTCTACAGGTGAAACACGGGAAACCATGATGCGGTCCCATTGCTTCGACTCTACACCAGTATGAGTTGCGAGTCTTAAAGTTAAAATAAAATGATGAATGAATGGCCAATGCTTCTTTTAGCCCTGAAATAAATATGCCCCTTTATTGATTGATTTTAACTAATTAAAGTCATATAAGGCATTAAATAAAGCAAGTTTCAATGGAATAGATGCACTAATTTATTTATTTATGATGTTTCATATCCTTTTCAGACTGCATCATCAGGATTAATAATTCGGTATAGATGCACTGACGCAGCCTGAAAAGGATTGAAAACCTCATAAATAAATAAATCAGTGCATCTTTACCTTTGAAACTTGTTTCATTTAATGAATGGTGTGTGTGAAAACCTAATAAACAAATATCATTAAGGCATTTTAATAGAATCTGTATATCTACACAACTCATTAGATTTATTTGGTTGCTTTGCTGGGAGCAAATAAATTGTATTGTCAGTATTGCCTATTTTTTTCTAACAAGAATCCATTTATTATAATATGTAGTTTATATGTAGGGTAAAAAATCATCAAATGCATTGCAGAAAATTGAAAAGATTACAATGAAATAGTAATAAATACTAACAATGTTGTTGAATTTCGTTCCATATATATTCCATATACCTACTGTATATTAGATTTTGTTTGAGATAGAATGTAAGATTTTATTTATGCAATACTTCTAGAATGGAACTATTTTCAATGTCTTTTAAGTACTCAAATGAACTCACCACATTACTAAATGTAGCAGACAGAATGAATTAAGGTTTGGTCTTGCCCTATGTCTGTTCTGCATTCTATACTTGATTTCAAAAAAAGGGAAAATTATGTTACTTTGATCTGAATAATAGTTTGGTGTGTTGTTCAATGAACTCTGGAAATTAAAATAAAGGCTTACCAATGATGAAAAGTATACTGCCAAGAAGACATAATCCGATTCTTATACAATTGGTCCTATTGAGACTGCTCGTTACACGACGTGAGAAATAGCTCATAGGACAATTCCATCGTTGCTCATTCGGCTGTTGCTCATATGTTACTGTCGTCGGTTGATATACTGCACTAGTAGGCATTTTTGTTCTTTTTCGGCTTTAAACAACACTACACTTCAATATTTCTTTTCACAATTTTAACCACACTTAGGTTTTCATCACCAGAACAAAGCAAAACAGCAGTTCAAAAATAAAATTTGTATGACGCAGAGACGTAAACTGTACCGTAAATGTATAAAAAAGGTTCTAGCGACCAAAGATTATGTATTAAAATTTCAAATAGGAAATATTGAAATGAAACTTATAAGATTCATAAGTTTTAAAAGCAGTTCTACAGTGATTTCATTTCAAAGCGCTTTTGCATTAGCAAAGAAAAAACCAGCTTCCAAAACAGTCCCATAGAGTATGTAACATGCAGTGTTGCCAGGTCCGATTTTAAAAAATCGGGAGGAGTTATAGAAAAAAAGCAGTAGATGTATGGAAAGAGCTACAAGAAAAAACAGTAGATTACAGAGGCGTACTTTTTCCGATTTGCCCCCGTGTTTCTAAGATTACATTTTTAAGTATTCATGGAATCGAAGAGATACCTCCACACAAAACACGCATCTGTCGTAATTCGTATCGCATCGCATCCTGTGATACTACGATACCGATTCCGGCACTGATTCACGTTTCACGATTTTTCTGTTATCGTAGCGCATCGATTTCAGAAATATCCCATCCCAAGAAACGCTCATTTCTACTAACAACATTCGTTCCTAAACATGCAGAAGAAAGAAAGACCTTTCCGAACAGCTTAATCCTTTGGCTTTGCGTAGGGATGTAGCTTCGCTCTGCATCTTCTATCGCATTTATCACGGGGAGTGTTCTGAGGAATTGTTCGGATTAATTCCAGCTGCTGCATTTCGCCATCGTACATCGCGACAAAACTTTCATCCCCATCATCTTTATGCGTGGCTATCCACAACCGTGGGTTTTTGTCGAAATTTTTTACCACGTACGACAAAACTGTGGAATATGTTGTCGCCAGCAGTGTTTCCGTACCAATACGACCCAAGAACCTTCAAAAAAAGAGCTAGGGATAGTAATCATCATTTCAGTCCAGTAACTGAATGACTGAAATAAATATAAAATTTCAGTACATTTTCTACTTATTTTCATAGAAAATAAATAAAACAAACTTTATTTTTACTGTAACTATTTTTTTTATAGTAAATAAGTAAGTTTAACAGAAATATTTAAAATATGGATTACTTGTATCGATAAATCTTCAGTTAAGTAGAATTTCTCCGACATTGGCATTGGACATCAATACACTTTTACAAGAATAATATCAGTAATTTCTCTAAGCTCAAAGATTATTTTTAGGTCTCCTAGTTAAGAAACTAAAGTGTTATCAATTGTTAATGATAACATGATAAACTATTTACCAAATATAAATATTATTTGAATACAATACAGGTGTCGATTCTGACATGATTCTCTAATGCGATTCAAATAAGAATGGGAAAGCCAATGACCTCCAACTGTCAAATGTCGCTTGAAAAGTACGGTTTGCAAAAAAATATTGGAACCCTTTTTTAGCACTGCTTATTCTAGAATAAAAACCACACATTTGTAAACAAACAATAACAAATATTGATAATTTATATTGGTTGATATTTTTTTCATATAGTGAGCTTTGGCTATGAATGGTTGATAACCTAAACCGTCAACCAAATGTCACTTTAAGTTGCTTTCATAAACTCAATTTAAAACTTTCGTTTGATGGTTTGCATGTTCGTATGTGACCTAGTAATAGCGCATGATTATTCATAACTACTCCGGCGGTAATGCAGAGATGAGCGGAATTAAAGATCTAGATTCTGATTAATGTTTTTTCTCATTAATTTTAATAAATAAATATTATTAAAAATTGGTTGTTTTTTTTCCTCAATTTTAGTAAATATTTCAATAAAAAAATCTGATGTTTTTTCTCACTTCATCTTAGTTAGAGGAGCTCGATGGCGCAGGTGCTTAGCGCGTTCGGCTGTGATCGTTGTAGTTAAGCAACTTTCGCAGTGGTCCGTCATTGGATGGGTGACCAAAAATTTCTATCTCGAGTTCCTCCGTGCTTCGGAAGGCAAGTTAAGCCGTTGGTCCCGGTTGCATCTGCAATCGTTAGCCAATCCGCACTGGGCCCGCGTGGTGGGTCATGCCCCAGTCTCCCTATTCCATCCATAGGGAAGGCCTGTGCCCCAGCATTGGAGACATAAAAGAGGCTGATGATGATGATGAATCTTAGTTAGAAGAAGTGGCGGACTAACAAGGGGGCGGAAGGGGCAGCCCGCCCCGGGCCTCCGATCTCGGGGGGCCCCTAAATGCCTCCGGGTTCCCCTGATCAAATCCTAAACAAGACTTTAAAAATGTGATTAGTACCTACATAATTTCATCAAGATCAAAACACTACAGTAATCTAGACTTTTTACGCGGTACTAATATTTTTTTAACTTTGCTGAACGCGTCCAATACGCTGGGGGAATCCCGTCTTTGTAGCGGGTACTTCCTCAGGAATCTCTGAAGTAATGAAGTGCAAATATTTTACTCTTGTACGCGTACATTTACATTCACTACATTCTATTTAAGTCTAACAATATTTGCGGTCTCCAAAAATGACTCTGGATACAGGAATCACCAAACTAAACGCCTTGAATAAGTATTTAGGTGGTTCATCAACATCAAGAAACCAGGAATAGTGAAAGTAAAAAGAAAATGCCGGGTGAATCAGCACATGATGCTGGATTATCAATTCAAGATGAAATACGTCGGTCAATGTATGAATGCACAGACCGCTTTATACAAGAATTTTCGAATTGGGCTATTAAACAAATCAAAAATATTTTCCAAATTATTGAAACAAAGTTTATGCTAGAGGCTTCAGATGACGCTCTGGCTGTAGCAGTTGACAATCTGATACAAAATTATGGTGGATTTGACAAGACTGGTTTTAACGAAATAAACATAAGAATCTACATTTTTTTAAAGCTGGGGGCCTCATTCAGCTTTGCCGCCCCGGGCCTCTGACGGGTTTAGTTCGCCACTGGTTAGAAGTTTTATTAAATAAAATTTTTTTTGCTCACTCTACCTATTTGGTTTGAATTGACAGCTATGACTTCAAAATATGGCGCCCAGTCGGTCCAATTCTTAGTTGAATCACATTAGAAATCTAAACTTAAATTTTACAACAGTGCATCTTTGTCACGGAGTACCCCCACTAGAGTCCGCATACAAGGGCAAGCGCTTACGCCAAGCTTAAGTAGTATTTTACCTATGCATGAGGCACGCCTACAGACGTCGCGATACATCGTTTCATTCGGTAACCGAGCGTTGGTCGAACTGCTTCTCTCGTTTTCGTGTTAAAAAACTGTAAAAAATGCCGTACTGTGCAATTAAATTGTGTGGAAAGTCGAGTACAACTTCCAGTCTTCAAAAAATGGTATTACTTTTCACTGGTTAGTTTAAATGCATTACAAAAAGACAAAAATACTGTTATATTAAATTGGTGTTAATTGTATTTATTTTTTGGTGAACGCGTTGATGTCTTTTTACGCTATCCCTTGTATTGCTAGTGACTCAGACGCAGCTCATGTCTCAACGCGTAAGTTTATCGATAAGTTTGTCAGCTATGGAAATTGAAAAAATAAATAAAAACTATTTATTTCATCGTATACAGAAATAGATGTCATGAGTATACAACCAACAGTGTTTATTTGACTTCAAACATATCCTAATAAAATTGAAAAAATGCGAAAATTTGTATGCATATTTGTTACTCTTTCACGCTAAAACGGTTAAACGGATTTGTATGAAATTAAGTGCGCATAGTTTATGACCTAGATAAAGACATAGAATTAACGATATTAAATACCCTAGAAACACCACGAGCGCTCAAAATGTGTCCCCATCAAGAAGTACTTGAACTCCACTCAATCGCGGACCGTTGAAAAGTCAAGATGCCAAAGAGTTCCGTGAAAAAATACAGAAAAATACTAATAGTACGTAAAGTGGCGTTTTTGCGACGGGTAGCTAATTAATGTTTTTTAATTAACGCCTTTTATCGTTGCATTAATACTTCTTGTCCTGGACGTGTTTTTTTTCGTGTTGCTTATATATAATTTAGTATGTAGTTACTAGTCGCGTCATGTAATTAGAACGCTGGAAGAAAGTGGAGAGGGTATGATTACGCATTTGCTTACACTCGCGCACCACAGTACAGCGTGTATTCTAAATTGTTTATCGATAGAAAATATCGATATTTTCTAAAATCGATCTTACCCTCATCACTTCGCTGCACTGAGTATATGATTTGACCTTGACGCGTCCAATCACAGCGGGGCTGACCTCCCTGCACCCCACCGACTTTGGCTATTTTGATTCCAAACAAAATTTGTGTGATGCGGACTCTAGTGGGGGTACTCCATGATCTTTGTTATTCTTACTACAGAATGAAAAGGAGATACTGGTGTCGATTCTGACAGGATTCTCTTGACTTAAAACTAAATTTAACATCAGTCTGTCCTTTTCATTCTGTATAGAGAATGACAAAGATACACTGTTGTCAGATTTTAGTTTAGCTTTAGAGAATCATGCCAGAATCGACAACATTGATGTTTAATTTAATTTAAAGTTTACAGAATCGACACCACGGTGTTATTTAATTAATAGTATGTATAGTAAATAAAAGAAAGAGCAGATTAAACAAGAAGTGTTATTTGAAATTTTTTGTCGGATATCCAGCAATCCAGCGGTTACAGGGTTCGTAGCGCACGATCAGACTATATAGACCGAGCTGTCAAAGCTGGTCACTTTCGAGACGTGTTTCATGTTTTAGGCTTTGCTATTGATGTATAAATAACAGAAGGTCATTGCAGCATAGCCATCCATAATATAAAAAAAACAAGCCAAGTGCGAGTCCAACTCGCTGACAAAGGGTTCTGTACTGTCAAACCGCGCTTTTTTGTTTTCGTCACAATTTACAAAGTACTTTATGAATCGACGTTTTCAGTATTTGTGGTTCAATACAAGCGTAAGGGTACGACCAGAGTGCACTCAGATTCAGATTCAGACTCAGAAAACAAGCGCGAGAAATATACAGTGTAGTTTAAGCAGGTTGCCTGCTGCCACTATGGCCACCCTGCTTTAACTACACTGTTTATTTCTCGCGCTTGTTTTCTGAGTCTGAATCTGAGTGCACTCTGGCCGTACCCAAAGGGAGGGAAATTAGCAAAATTTCATATTACTAGCTAGTTTCGATTTTGAGACCTTTATTTAATTTTTAGACCAATTTCGTTACGGGGTCTATACCCCGTAACAAACTTGGTCTAAAAATTATAACATTGACGTTTTTGTTGCCTACGTTTCCATTTCTTCGTTTTTGAAATATAAAAATAATATAAATTATAGCCTTCTCAACGAACTCTAGACAATAATGTGTCGGTTCATGCTGGGGTAAAAAAGAAATATATATTTTTCGTCTCCTCTTTTTAACTAAATATTCGACTTCGGGCAAGCATTTTACATAAAATACAAAAATTTCAATTCTGTTGCTCATTCCGTTTAGGCTCTAGAGACTCGTGACATACGGATAGACAGACAGAGACGAAAGCAATAGGGTTCCAATTTTACTCTTTCGGTGCGGAACCCTAAAAAGATAATGATAATAGGTGACCCTAATGAACTATACACGAAGTGGCGCATTTCTTCTCCGACTGTATAAAGTACGAAAAGGAATAACATTTCATAAATCGTTACTTACGAATGTTTACTCTTAAACTCTTCTAATTTTCGTGCAAAATAAGTATATAGGGCAGGTTCGCAGGCAGTGCCAATCATCACACGACTGACGGCAGTACATTATAATTTTAAGTTCTAAATTACAGAACTTCTAAATACATCAGCCAAAATGTTCTTTGCGCAAAGAATTGCATTGGTGGTTTATATTGTGTTGATTTCGTATTTTGCAGTAATGGACTTGACTTCTGCAGCTTCGGATTATGGGTGTTACAAGAGCAAATGTTGGAGTAGTCGCGGTTGCTGGTGGGGATGGTGTTACACCGTAAACCCTAAAAACGAGAACGATTTTGCAACATGTACAACGGATTCAGATTGTAACCCAGAGTGGCCGTGTCCAGAAGAAGAATCTTGCTTTTGGCCGCACTTACTTTAAAATAGTGTTTGTAATTGAACTATTACGCGCGCATGCGTACGTAATATGTAGTACGTCCATGATGTAAAGTGTGAATAAAATGACATTTCTTAAGAAAAATAATATTTAATTTTAAATACATGTTGTTATTTATAATACCGTTATTTCTAAACAGTCATAACTTTAAAATTATAATGTAAATATACTTAAGACTTAAAAGGCACTCTGCTTGTTTAAAATATCATATCTAATTCAGGTCATTTCATTATTATATACATTTTACATAGTAGTCTTATACATAAATGTCGAATACAGTAGTGGAATATTCAGTCATAAATAATACATAACAAATATACCTATCAAAATAAATCACTGTTCATCAATTTGATTTATTTACATATATTTCATTTTAAGGCACCAACAGAGTGAGCAATCATCTATAAAATTCCTCGACTTGGTTGTTCCATTTTTGATGATCATAATATAATGTGCTATATATGCATAATAAATAAATAATTCAGCCGCTAATTGTTTGTACTAAAATGTAAAAGTCTAAAAATATCAATATATTTCATTTTGTACATACACAATAGTGCCACAGTGTAAAATAATTTGTGAACCATGTACATAAATTATTGCTAATCAGGAAATTAATTCGTACGGAAGACCAACTAACAAACATCAATAAATAAACACATTCTCTGGGAATGTGAGGTGAAAAGCATACTAAATTGACTTAATAGACACGTATATTTTTATATTTGAGCGTGTGATATATGGTGAAGTAAATATTTAAATTTACTAATAAAAGTGCATCAATTGATGTGCAACCAACACCAAGTACAAAAAGTTAATTTCAACACAGATTCCCTAATCGATGAAATGTGAAATCTATACATAAAGTTAACAACCCATAATTAATTAAATACTTTCAATACAAACCAAATTGTGGTCATTAATATCACTTTGTCATGTTTTTGAGTTTTCAGTCTCCTTTCCGAGTGCCTTAATGATTCGACGAATGATGACATTATAAAACACATAAAACTAAACATTTTTTTGTCATCCTTAAATGTCTATTTACAATCTTACATAAACAAAGCAAAATTTCTGACTGACTGCAGTAAGAAAAGCTCTGCGTCTATTCGATAATAGTCAGCACTAAAATATGAGCTAACACAAACTAGTTTAGAATTCAGAGATATATTTTGAATTAAATCCCAATATTATATCTTTTTCACCGAGAAATTCTAATCACTTCTTTGAACACAATTCCCTCAAACACTTTTCATAAGATAGTATTATATTTTCAATCTGCAGGCACTAACAAAGCATTAAATCTATGACAATCAACATAGAGAAATTTTAGATTTAGCTGCATTCCAAAGTAAATATTCAGCAGCGGACACAACCTAATAACAAACAGAATCACGAGTCATTCGACGGCGAAACCGGCGGTCTCTAAAACGGCCTGCTTCAGTTTATCGTGGAGTTTCTCCTTGTTAGGGTACGGCGGGAGATCGAGCCGATTGAAGCAGGTATGGGCTTTCGGCAGGGAATCTGGGGAGGCGTCGGCGACGAGATGTAGGGTAAAGAGACGCGGGGCTGCGGCCCCTGTAGAGCCCTGTAAGGCGCGGAATCCGGCTAAAGGGACTCGTCTAGACCCGGTGACGAATTGAAGGAGGCGCGCGCGCATTTCGGCGTCAAAATCTTCTACGATTTCCCAGAACCAGGCGAGAATCGGCGCGTCGGGTGTGAGATGTTTGAGGCGTGTATGGCGTTTCCAGTCAGCGGGGTCGAGGTCGGCGCGTCCTGCTAATAAAGGCGGCAAGTCTCTTGGGGATAGGGGGCGTAGTAGCTGAGGCGGTACTAAATCGGCTAGGCCCCGTTGTAGCGCGAGCCATTGCCGTTCGGCGCCGCGCGTGAATCGGTGCGCTACGTATAAACGCACGTATTCGCGTTTGTTCGCATCCGTCACAGTCTCGTTGACGCCGCCCGGCCGCAGCTCGACGCTGCGAACTGCGCCGAACGACGAGCATTCTACGGAGAAGGTGGTGTCTATCACGCCCGCTATGCTGTTTTCGCTGCAAAAATACGAAAAGGAATTGTATTAGTAAAAAAAATATCATTAGATGGTTGGATGCTTTGCAGCAGTTAAACAAAAAACGAGCGAGCCTTACAGTAGTCGCGTATGATGTGTAACATTTGAAACCTTACCTTATATTAGTAAAAAAAGAAATAAAACCTACAACAAAATGAATGAGCCATTTGAACATTGTTCTAAAATCAAATCAAATACCGCGCGCTTTCGCGACTTCCTGTTACACACTTCCGTCCTCCCGCAAATTGCAGGAAAGCGACAGGAAAGTTGTTACACATCAAAAAGGAATTGTATTACTCTCCTCGTAGCATGAGCACCCTAATTTACGTTTTATCATGTTTCTTATCGCTTTCTAACTGTCAGACTCCACAGTAATTTGACAATTCAGCGTGATAAAAACATGAATATATCATATCGCGATGCTCGTGCTCGGGAGGCTAGATGACGTTTGAAATATCTGCGATATATATTTATTTATTTAATTAAAAACTTTGAAGTTCTTAAGTGTCAATAATAGACGTAAAAATAATTAAATCACAAGATGATGTCTTATTCTAATTATAATTCAAAAACTTACTAACTTTAATCATACTTAAAACTTTTTTTATGTTTCTAAGTACTAAGGATGCAGCCGTAGATGGTAGAAATATGGATGGATGGCAGAAATAGAATAAAAAAATATACTAACAGCATCCAGGACAGGGATCGATGCAGTTCCGGGTCCACGTCGCGTATGTCCCGCAGGGTGATTGGTCGGCCCAGTAGCTGCTTGTAGAAGGGTACCGTGAAGGCCGCGTCTAGTTGGTGTCCGTGGAACAACGCCACGCCCAGTATGCGCCCGGCGAAATGGAAGTACGAAAGGTGCTCGGGATTCACCTGTAAACAATTATATAACAGTTGAGGAGCCGGCGAACAAAACGGTATAATTACGCATCTGGTCAAACTATTTTTTTATGTGTAACATCTTTCCTCTCGCTTTCGTGCAATTTGTGGCAGTGATTACGTGAAGTGGGACGGAAGTATGTAACAGGAACTTTGGGAAGCGCGCGCTATTTGATTTGATTTTAAAACATAATGTTCAAATGGCTTATTCCTTTTGTAGTAGGTTTTATTTCTTTTTTTACTAATATAAGGTGAGGTTTTAAATGTTACACATCATACGCGACTACTGTAATGCTAGCTCGTTTTTATTTTATTTTTACAGTCCGGAGGTTTTGGGCCTGATCAATTTGAATCCCAAATAATTTTCAATCAAAACCGCCTAAAACAGTGTTAAAATTACCAAATTTATAAATTAAAAACCATGTCAAAAGCTGACTGTAGGAATGGCATTCAGTTATTATACCGTTTTTTTGGCCAGCCCCTCAGTTTTAATCAGGGTTGCACTGGATAATTACGTATTGATAATAACGTGTTACTATGATAGAAATCACACAACTAGAACCAGGAATAAATATCAAAATATAAATACAGTTTCTAACTCGGACGAGGATGATCCCATTGACTTTATTGGCCTAAAATTAGAGATAAAAATAAGAATAATAGAATGACTACGGAAAAATATAATTGATTAAATATATTTTCAATACCAATTTTAATTTTAAATGTTATTTTATCATACTTAAATGAAAATGTAAAGTGTTTTTATTTCATCTATACAGTAACTCATCTTCAAAATTGAAGTAAATATCAATGTGCTTTTTTAGGAAGGAATTACATTTACTATCGTTTTCATAATTGTAACTATTAAAAGAACGTGAAATACCGAATTCTATCAACCATAATGGCGCGATTACATTTGGTCGTTAGCCCGAATACGAGTGCCAATGGAATTCGGGTAAACAACTAAGTGTAAATGCACGGAGTCGAGTACGCCCGTAGTCGTATTCGGGTAGTTTTCGTTTTGGTTACCCGAAACAGTCTTCCAGCAGGTCTAACAGTGTAAATAATGCTTCGGATGCCCGAATTGTCTTTTGTGCACCCGAATACAGGCTAACGACCAAATGTAATTGAGCCATAAACTACCAAAACTAATTAATCTATACATATAAACAAAATTGGTGTGTCCGTTTGTAATATTGAAATAACCGCTTTTTTCTACATGCATATGAATATATATACGGTACACACACCATTTCTTTTTACATTTTTTGTCTGTCTGTCTGTTTGATCCGGCTAATCTCTAAAATGGCTGGAACGATTTTGACGGGACTTTTATTGGCAGGTAGCTGAAGGAGTAACTTAGGCTACTTTTATTTTAGAAAAATCTTTTATATTAGAAAAAAAAGTTAACGCGGACGAAGTCGCGGGCGGCCGCTAGTATTAATTATAAAATTACCCCAGAGTCAGCGTTGATTTGCAGCGCGTATCTGTCGTCGCCCGAATTAGCGTACTGGAACAGTCCATATTGTGGATTGAACAGCTCCCGTCCCAACAAGTGGAGCCACTCCCGGGCTACTCCACCGTAGTCAAGGCCTTCCTCGCCACGGAATTTCACTAGGAGGCGCTTCCTTAACTCCTTACCGCGTAGTTTCATCACTAACCGGTATGATTCTTCGAGTACCTCATTGCGTGACACCTGAAATGAACGAGTGAATTAGAAAATGCCTGGGGAAACGATGTGGGAGGACACTCTTTATTCTATTCGTGCAAAAAATTTTGGTCTTCGGCTTTTACGGAGGAATACATGGCCACATTAAAAACCGAAACTAGATAACGGCACATAAAGCCATCGTAAAAGATAAGCTAAATTAACATCGGCTAATTAACACAAATTTTCATTCAAACCTTTTACTTTCTCCATGGTTATCAGGGGAGTTTGTATTCGAGATGCCACGATACGACTTTTTGCCGATACAATACCGAGGCTTATAAAAATTCGGCGTTACCGATACGCTTATTGAAATCAACAAATATAGTTATATATTTTTTTAAGCATGTAACTGCTTGATGTTTAAATCTAAAGAAAATAAAACTAGAAAAAAATTTATGATAAAATAAAGAAAACTCATGGCAGGTTATTTTTTTTAACTTGACTATTATTTATTTGGCTCACCGATTAGTTTTAAATGATATGCATACACAAACTAATTCAAATATGTAATCCTTAATTTTATTTAATTGAAAAATGCTACGCACGACGGTAGTCAGTCTAGCAAAATGGGATAGTTATAGAAAATCCAAAACGGGCAGGCGAAACAAGACAGTGAATAAAGCACGGGGTTTCCTTGAGCGTAATTCGTGCCTCATATTGTTTTAAACTTCAAGGTCACAAACATTATAGTTATAAGCGAGTGAATTACTCCGTGATCATGGCGTTTGCAACCGTGCCGAAATATCAGACTCACAAAAAACAATTCCTTTAATAACTATAATAGTTTGTGCCTCGTATGAAATGAACTAGACGAGACAACATTACACTTTTAAAGCGCGAAACTAAAAAAGTATTGTTAAATTGGTCATATAAATATCGCCCATGCCGATATATCGGTATCGGATGTATCACTAGTTGGTGTGTCAGGGTTTTTGTTTTAATAAATGGATGACTATTGTGTTTGTCGACTTTTTTTAATTAATGACAGTGATTATGCATTTCTAGTTTAATGGAATGTGAGTGAACTAAATCCTGCATGACCAATTTGCGGTTGTGATGCTCGATGATCGTACGTTCTACGCATTTTGAAACGGGGATTTTATATTAAACATTGAAAAATAGGTTTTAAGCCTCTTCCTCTCTTGGAAAACTTGATTGTGCAAGAGTAGTGTTTGTTTCATAGGTTCTTTTAAACAATAACTTTAGAAATCAATAAATTATGAACAAATCAGACCAAAAACATATAGAGTTTTTACAAAAGACAAACAAAAGTTCAAATGGTATCTACCTATAGGGCAGAAATTGCCAAAAATAATAATTTAGAGGATCTCCTTTTATTGTTTTGAATTGTACTATTAGCTCAGAGCTCGTTGTTTGAGTGTTCGAATATTTTTAACATTATAAGCATTATATAGATTCAACCTTTATAGCGGCTGTGAAGTTAACAGCTCGAGTAGCTCGATAGGTCAGTAGTTAGCGCGTTCGGCTGCGATCGTTGAAGTTCAGCAACTATCGCAGTGGTCGGTCATTGAATGGGTGACCAAAATTTTACTATATTGAGCTCCTTCGTGCTTCGGAAGGCACGTTAAGTCGATGGTCCCGGGTGTATTTGCTGTCGTCAGCACCCACCAATCCGCACTGGGCCCGCGTGGTGGGTCATGGCCCAAAACTCCCTATATTCCATCCATAGGGAAGCCTGTACCCCAGTAGTGGCGACATTAATAGGCTGATGACGATGAAGTTAGAAGAAAGTGCTCACAGGGTTGCCCGCAGTACGCGTGCCTTCGCCACCAGATCCCGCTTATATTTGGGCAGCGCGTCAGAATTGGACAGTTATTTTGTGGGTGGGTTTGAAGCGGGACGCAAAGTATCTATGTTAAGTACCGATCTATGTCTATGGTTACCTCTATCCTACAGTGGCCAGTCTGCGGTTGCAGCGCTTGCAGTTCTGCCCGCAGAACGCGTGCCTTCGCCGCCAGATCCCGCTTGTATTTGGGTAGCGCGTCAGAATTGGGCAGTTCTTTTGTGGCGGGCTTGAAGCGGGACGCAAAGTAACTATGTTAAGTATCGATCTATGTCTATGGTTACCTCTATCCTACAGTGGCCAGTTTGCGGTTGCAGCGCTTGCAGCTCTGCCCGTAGAACGCGCGCCTTCGCCGCCAGATCCCGCTTGTATTTGGGCAGCGCGTCAGAATCGTGCGGTTCGTTTGTGGGCGGGTTCGAAGCGGGGCTTATTGGTGGGGACGACACAGGGGGCGGGTCGGGCTGCGGCTGTAAACACGATAGCTTATGTTATTGTAATACAAATATAATAATATGCCAACGGACACAAGTTTGTTTTGCAGATATAGTCTGTTTCGGCCTTAAATATTATACAGGACACTTTCATAAATTATCCCTAAAAATACAATAAACTATGGATATAATTTTAAGAACAGCCTTTTTCATCTGTTCAGTTTACATGTGGGCGCGATTTACTAAGGAAGAAAATAAGAAATTTAAGAGGCTGTTTGATTGAATGATTAACAATTTATTTAGCCTAATGAAGATTTTCAGGTAATAATTTAAGCCTTTTGAAACATGAGGTCCTCTCAATGATTGATTTTTGGACGTAAATTTATTAAATAACTATAATTGTATTCTCATGACAATCAAAGCCAGAGCCACATAGCCTCGTTATTTCTGAAAACTGTAATTGTAAAAGTATTAAAGATTACGTTTTTTAACACTCTTTTTCCGTTACTTAAATCTATGAATGCAGAAAAATAAAAAAAAGGTAGGAAAGGAAAAAATCCACGATTAAGTACACTAGATAAGTATCGCAAAAGGTGCGTATTGCTGAGAGATTTCATCCGATACGTGCCGTAACTCGAGCCGGTCTAGGAGGTGTACTCCCGGGGATAACTTACCGAGCGCACGGAGAGGGCGAGCCGCGGGTCAGTGAACTGCGTGGTGCGGTTGTTGTGATCCACGAAGTAGGGCCGGCCGGAGGGCGCGTGTCGCATCTCCCAGCCGGGGGGCAGCGGGCCGGCCGCGGCGGCGCAGTGCCGCAAGTGTTGCGGTACGCGCGGATCGTGCCATGTCGACGCGCCGCTCACACGGTTGTAGAAATACACCTGGCCCTGAGCTGTCGTCCGCATCTCTGCGATAGAAGAGACGAACTTCTTAGCAATCCATGGATTCACTAGCTGCGTCCATCGTGTGGCAGAGAGAGAAACTCAGAGCAGTTCCCTGGACTTGCGATTCAGGCGTAGATTTAAGGAGATGCGCATCAACGCTCACCTTCACTGCTCGAGTTGCCCCTTCCTAGGAGTGATCTCTTACTATATGACCCCGTGTGAAACAATACGCGAAGAAGAGGTCGATGGCGCAAGTGGTTAGCGCCTTTGATCTGCGATCATGGAGGTTAAACACTTTCTTGATGGCAGGTCATTGCATTTGTGAACAAAAACTTATTATCTCTCAAGCTCCTCTGTGGTTCAGAAATCATGTTAAGCCATTTTTCCTGCTGCATCAGCAGTTGTTAACACCCACCAATCCGCACTAGAGCCTCATCATGGCCCATTCTCCCTATACCATCCATAGTGAAGATGAATAAGCACTATCAACTAACAGGTGTGCATGCATGCATTTATTGTTAAACTGTTATAGAAACGAAAGAGGTCACACGACTGTAGCAAGTGGAGATTGATTATATAGTCTCTGTCTACATCTCTTGAAAATAATATTAGACCTTTATATAGCAAAAACTAATGTTAATATCTCAACAATGGAACTTGGGATTTGGTGAAAAGAAGTGCTCTTTCCCACTGCAGAATAATAATTAATAATAATATATCTTTATTCAAATAAGGTCATACATTGCATAATAATACTAATAACAATATAAAGTACAAAATAATGGATGCCTGAACTAGGTTACAGTTAAAATTGTACCTGTATTTCAGGCTTTTATGATCTAAATAATATATTGAATGATTAATAAATTAACAAATTAATTAAAACAGAACTTAAAGTAATCATTGTATAAATGTTGGTAAATGTAAATCATGGAGTTACGTTCATTTATTTACAAATAAGAAGTAATTCTTCGGTCTGCTCGTATGTCAGGCTGTGCAAATAATTAAATACTACAGTTAAAATAGTTTAATGTATAAATACCTAACACTCTATTTAACTTATTATATAAGAAAGGACTTGGGAAAGTAGAGAATCTATGTGAAAAGATGTATTTTGAATCATGTGTAGAGATGCAGACTATATCTTTCCGTCTTTTGTTAGTGATATCAGAGCAAAAAGGTGAAATGGTGTGTTGTTTTAATATGGTGTGCATAATGAAAAGCTGGCGAACAGTTAACACATTACAGTATTTGTAAAGTTGATGCATAGGATATAAGAAGGGAAGTGAATTGGCTACTTTTAAAAAGGCTCTCTGAGCTCGCTCGAGAGGGATTAAAATATTTTTTAGAGCTCCACCCCATGAAGTTATACAATATTGAATTACTGATTGGCATAAGGCCTGATATACCTGTTTAATTAGTTTTGGACCTGCAATGGTACGTAATTTTTTAAAAATATACATTAATTTACGGATCCTGACTACTAGATTTGCAATATGCTGTCTAAAAGATAATGTGTCGTTAATTAAGATACCAAGATATTTTATATGGGATGTGTTCTGTATTAAAGGGCAATCGCATTTATTGACTGAAGGATATTGGCATTGGTGTGCGTATAAGTTAGGATTTGTAAACCCATGACAAGGCTGGCGCATAAAAAAGTGAATATAATTGGTTTTGTCAGTATTCAGTGTTAGTAAATTGCAGCGAAGCCAGTTATGTACGCCATTAAGACCAAGTTGAGCTACCTCATATAATTCTGACCTACTATTGGCGCTAAAAATCAAGGCCGTATCATCGGCGTAAGATATAATTTTACCACATTTTAAATTAAGGTTACATAAATCATTGATGTAAACGAGAAAAAGGGTAGGGCCGATTATACTTCCCTGGGGAATACCATAGCAGGTCATTTTCTGGTAATCACTTTTAATATTTCCTATTTTAACGCATTGAGATCGATTGTCTAAATAATCTGCAAACAGTTTTAACTGCGTTCCTCTAATACCCAATGCTTCCAACTTTTTTAGAAGCTTCGATGGAATGTATGGTACTTAGGACTATCTTTAGCTCTGTATTCCCTACATAGCACTACTATTTGGCAAGGAGAGTTTTAGTAATGATGTTGCCCATTGGACACTCTTTCTTCTGTTAGTTAGAAATAAAGGTTCACTGCTCGTTCCCCATAGGTAATAGCGTGATAATATGTAGTCTAGCCTGTTGACCCGACTTTTTAAAAATATTCGTGCTAAATTTGAAGTTATGTTTGTAGTTTATGTGCCATGCATAAATGTTTTTTTAATACATTCAATGTACAGTTTTAAATTTCCCACCATTTTATTATATGTATAGATATTACTGTAATCATATTATACTTACCATAGCCTGGTGGTAGGTCCGTGGCAGTAATCGACGTCGTAGGGGTAGCAGGCGAAGTTGGAGATACGGGGCTAGTCGGCGACTCAACTGTATTCACTTGACGGGACCGAACCGCAGTCTGCGGTTGTGGCTCAGGTCTTGAAACAATATTTTAAATTATTTCACTATACTTGCAGAAGTCATTATGGGATACTATACGAAACTCAAGTTGGATTAGATAAATTAGATTCGAAGACTAAAGCCAGTTTTCTACCGCCAACGAGGAATGAACTAGGGATGTCTAGCGGAGCAGTTTTCATGTACATAAAATAGAATGGCTTTTCCACCAAGAAAGAGTTCCAAACTAACTAGCTCATTTTTACTCTTCTTGACCTCTTTGTCATATTCGCTCGACTTTTTGTAGGTGAAAAAAGGTGTATGAATTTTTGTATTGGGAGGTAAATGGATAAATAAATATTAATAATTTAAATTGGCCTCTTTGGTTGAGTGACTTTCACATCAGTTTTCAAATATTGACTTGATCTAATGACATCAAAAACCCTGATTCAAATTGTTATTATAATTATGTGGCATTAGATTCCTGAATGTCTTCAAACCAATGAAACATGCAATCACATTATACTTCAATGAAAAAGAGGTTATTAAAATCATAAATGATGAAATTTGACTAAAGACGTCTAGACATATTATTATCTCTGTAACTACAGCATACACCCTAGCTCGGCTCCACGCAGAAGCTCGAAGGCGCAAGTGGTTAGCGCCTTCTTGCAATGTAATTCTTCTTTTTGAACATTTTATCAAACGTCTTTTGGGCACTATCAACCTCTTTTTTATACTTTTTTATAACGCGTTTAAAGTGACGTTTTATTGTAAAATAATTTTGTTCTTTTTTTCTGTCTGTCAATAAAAATCGTTTGGAAAATTTGCCTACGTATTTTTCTGTCGCGAAATATTTCATAGTGTTGATTTGTTACTTTGTATTGAGCAAACCGTTCTTCCGTAAGCTATGTATATGTACTGTACTCACTCTGTACTCATTTATTTCTACCAATTATTTGTAATCTGTGGCATAATCTTAGTAATCATTATGTGTGGTACATCACTAAGTGGGCGGTACCCGTCCATGAAGTACAATATTATTTGTATGACATATAACGGTAGCGTAAATAGGTAACGTAAATAATACGAAATTTCATGGGCGTCGATCTGTCAAAAAGATAATAATAGAATGGACAAACTATAATAGCCTGATGATAATACACTATAGCAATATACTGCTTGTTACCTTAATGAAATGGAAGTGCTGCCGTTAACATCTGTATCAGATGTCGGTGACAGTGGTGACGAGGGTGATAGAGTTGTTGCAGGCGAAGTGGCCGGCGGGGAAGGCGACGACGGGGGCGAAGCTACTGCCGCTGCGACAGTGTTCGAACCATCCATTGTTGGACGTTCCCATTGTGTACGTCGAAGTGCATGGTTCACATAGTATGGCCTAAAAATACTTGTATTGTAACTATTTGTGCCTACGAAATCATACTAAGAGCAGGTACATAATTCTAAAATTTTATAAATTTTTCTTTTATTTACAAATAAGTGTGAAATTAACATACATTTCCATAAACCTTATTGAACACAAGAATAAAATTGAGGGAAAATAATATCTTACAGTATATGATGGACATGCTTTCATGCAAAACATTCAATAAGAAAAATCATTAAGATATTGATGATTTGATCAAGTGAGTCCTACAAAACCAGTTTAAAAATTGTATAAAACTTGTTTCATGTCTTTAATTACTATTTTTAATTTAGTATGTGAGTACCTGCTACTAGGTGTTACTCTCTCTTCCCAATGTGGAGGCAGAGGGACTGGTGTTGTATTTGTATTCATTGGAGGGTCTCTAGGTGGACGGACGTCACCAGCAGGGCCTACGACAGCTAAAGGAGAACCTTCGCCTGCTGCAGATGCTGGTTCTCCTCTTGTTCCATCTCGGGAAAGCAATGACACTATGACTTGACCCCTTACACCACAAGTCTCTCCTGAGCCATCTTCACAAAGCTCTAAACATTGATCTGTATGAGGGAGGGACTTGAATTAGAAATAATTTGATAGAAGGGAACATACTTAAAACCCACACTGCAATATAAAATTTCACAATACATAGTATGAACTGGATCATACTTTTTGATTAGGTAGAGTGGTAGTATACCGACAAACATTTTGCAAGGTGATGTCGGATTATTGAATTTGTCGGATTACAGAGTACTGTCTAAGACCACCCTCATAGTCTGGAATTTTTGGAATCAGACAAATTACAATTTTACGATTATATGTGCACATCAACAGTGATAAGCATGTCGGATTTTACAGGGGGCGCCAGATTAAACGGGGTCTGGGTCTGATTACCGCCTACTGAATTATGAAATGATTTTACATAAATGTCTGTATGTACAATTATATGAATACTAATTCTATATGTATATAGAATAAATATAGAATTAGTATTCATATAATTGTGTGTATATTGTACACACAGAAACCTAAGTATATATTATCAAATAATTTTAGAAATTAATTTTTCTTTTATTATGTAAACAATATAAAGGCCTATCAATGCCAAATGTCGTCAAATGGTGTTTTTCACTTCAACACCACTCCCATTTTAGCCATTATGAGAGAAAAAAAAAAGAACACTACATTTGGCATTAGGTGTGCTTTGATATTGCAAGTATCATTTGATGTACCTATCAGAAATGACAAGTAGAACCATACTGAGTAATAGGGATGATGACTTACTTTTTTTTCTTTGTAAAATATTGAAATGTATTGGACACATATTTTTTCTGTATTCTAATAATTAAAAAAAGCTTTTGGGTTCGAGCATTTGTACTCGAGTCATGGATGTTTAATATGTATTTCTATACAAATATACTTATAATGTACAGTATATGTATTCTATCTGTTACCCTAGTATCCCATAACAAAGCCTTACAGTGATGTCAATTCTCGCACGATTCTCTAAACTTAAAACTAAATTTAACATCAGTCTCTCCTTTTCATTTTGTGTAGAGAATGACAAGGATACACTGTTGTTAAATTTAAGTTTAGGTTTAGAGAATCATGTCAGAATTGACACCAGTGCCTACTTTGGGGTTAGGCTAATAGGTGTGAATGTGGGAAATATTTATTATTAATAAGTACTACAAGACCCAGAATATAAAGGCAATATATCAATTCATAATAAAAGGATAGGGTAAAGGATGAATAATTAAAATGCTCATAATATTAGACAGTTACTTACATCCTGTATCTTTTAACTTGTGAACTGTTGATGGCTGTATTCTTACACATCCCAGAAATCCAGAACCTTGTCTTTTGTGTACTTTTCTTTGATTCCAAATACTAAAAAGGACATAATAACAAACATTACAAAAAAATCTCATAATATGTTCATACAAAATTGATAACATGTAAACATCAAAAATTCTTCTTTTTCATAAATCTGAATTAGCATTTAACTTCTAGTTTTATAACCTGTCTGAAACTAGACCAATAACTAGAACCTAGAATTTTATTCTGGTAAAATTATTCCTTGTGTGTATTGTTTATTAAAAAAAGTCTTAAGTGTACTAGTGTCACTGACACATACTGGCGCTACGGAAGACCAGTGCTGTGACCTTATGTTGCAGCGTTTACTGAGTAGCAACAATTTTGGTTATAATGATGCCTAATGTAACATTTTAAAAACATCACTTGGGTTTAGTTTGGTTGAAAAGTAAATAGAAGGCCTCTGTTTAGGTTGACTCCCTCTTCCTCCTCCCCCTTTATCATAGATTGTTTTTTGCTATTCCATGCGTTTTTTTTTTTCATTTTCTGTGGTTTAACAAGGCTGATTCCTTTGCTTGCATTTTGGAAGGAACAAAAAGGAAGAAAATTTTAATGTCACTTCACAATGTAATTTTCGAGTGGCGCAATGTTACACTCATTATCTTATTTAATATTAAGATAATACTTATGATTATCAATAATTTTTTAAAGCAGGAGACATAGGTTTACCATGGTGATGGCTACCAGACATTGGCAGAATCGTCACGTAATGAGGTAGCCATAATCACCAAAAATTGAATAGAATAGAGATGGCTGTCGGTCTGATTGTTTAATTTCTTTAAGAAACGCCGTAGGGGTTTTATTTATACTTTACCCTGAAATAACCTTTTGTCATTACATGGGAGCGAGGCCTCCATACATACATTCAACTCAACACATAACAAAGATACAGCAGAGACAGAAAATGTAAATAAATATCTATAAGGACATATTTACATACTAACTGGAATGCTTAGAACTTATATACTAACTGGAATGCTTACGAAACAATATGGAAATTCAAAAAATGTAGTCTAACTAGTTATGTATAAAGTCCATTTTTGCTGGACAACAATGAAAGTGGAATCTGTCCCTCTCTTGCAATTGTCAGTGTTAATAAAATAATCAAATGGTAGTTTTCACATTATCCCAATAACCATTTATAAGAACAAGAATGTACAGTTTGAGAGTTAAATTTGCATTTATGTTTGATTGCAATATTAGTATATTAATATCAATGCAACCAAAAATGTGTTTATTTTTATTTAAACGGATAACTTATCTAATAAAATGGTAGTTATTGGCAGTAACTTGCATTTGTGCATGAAAACACTTGCGATGCTTCCAATAAACAATACGGCGATATTCTACCGCATTGAAGTCTTATTTATGCTAACTACAAATTATTTTAATCATATTCTTGTGATTTGCTATTGCAAAATGATATTGTTTTTATACAAAATGGTGTAAATGTGAGGTGTATACTAGTTGTAGAATTTCATTAATAGGTAAGTTTTTGACTTCTGTTTACAAATTACTTGTGTAGGGTGACAAAACATTTTCGATTTCCCTTTGGAAAGTATATGTCATCATCATCATCAGCATATTAATGTCCCCGCTCGTGGGGCCTTTCCTATGGATAGAATGAGGAGATTGGGTTAAGATCCACCACACAGGCTCAGGGCGGATTGGTGGGTACTAAAGACTGCAGTTGCAGCCTGGACCAACGGCCTACTGAAGCACGGAGGAGCTTGAGTAAGTTGGTATAATTTTGGTCACCCAAAGGATTTTTAATAATTTTTGGACTTTCAAGCTAAGGATATTGAACAGAAAATTAGAGATAGTTACTTCACCTACAGAAAAATAATTATCTGTTTGGACACACTACTAGAAAGATACACCTTGCACTAATTGAGGTTTATTCTTGGGAATGCTTTTGAGGCTCACGTAAGCATTCCAGATAGTATATAAGTTCCTTGGGACATACCTACAGACAAATTCTGGTAAGAGGAAATTATTTCACTATGTAAAATTCAGGTAAAGATTATAAATAAAAGAGGATAATTGGAAAATCATTGTATATTTCAATATATAGACCACCCAAAGTTAGTTTGGATTTTGTCTTAACCCCCCTTACAATTAATAAGTTAATGCCCTTCTGGCGAGTCCATTGAGGTAGGTCTGGCGCCAGAGTACTTTTTTAATTTAATTTTCCTATCCAATTTGCTTAAAAAAAGTCTTTCCCAAATAAAACCCTCTTTCTTATATTTTTTTATATGACAGTATGTATTTTATAACCACTGTAATCTACTGTGGTTATAACCAATAAACTTGTTTGATTTGATTTGCATACACAAATACTTACCTAATAGTTATTCCATCTCCTTTAGTCAGATATAGGTCATAATGAGTGTTCCACTTTGGGTCAAGGGTGCCTTTAACTGCATTTGTTGAGTAAACCTGGCCACTTCCATCAACTGAGATTTTAGCGAAAGGATCAGGCAAACCTTTAGTGACAATAAAAATAAAATAAATCACCATTTTCATACAAGAACGATTGCATAAAAGCCAAAACATAATCCAGATAGTATCATCATTACAATAATATTAATAGTAATCCCAGGGAAAACCTTGAGCTCATAAATACGTAAAATTAATAATGTAGGATATTATAGAAAAAAAAGGTATGCACTTACGAAATAGATCTCTTCGGACCAAGTTTCTTGCACACAAAACTAAAAAGAAAGAAAATATATTTTTAGCAAAAATAATCACAATAAGTTGACAAATTGGTGCCTATCAATTAGTACCCCACTACAACACACTTACTTGTGAGTCGCACTTTTTGTGCTCCATATTTGCGGTTCGACACGGGGGTCGACATTTTCCTGAATATTTATCTAAACATCACAAATTATATTCTTTTTATCGATTGTTCTACACATTCCTGCTGCGTAAACTTAGGCCACCATTTTTCTTCTTTTCATTTTCTATGACCGAAATGAACGTAACGAACGCAACTGAACGCAACCGAGACCGAGTGAAAGAATGAGGGCTACCGTTTTCTGCCTCACCAGATGGCGCCACTGTTGAGTGAGGTCCTAAAATGTAATTTTTAAAGTTTATTAATACGTACATGAAATCAAAGGTTATATTTAGATCGTATTTTAACCAGTGTGACCAGATTCAGTATTTTAATACTTTTTCAGTATATTTCATCGATTTTTCCGAACATCAGTATATTTTCAGGTATATTGCTGGCAGTCAGTATTTTTAGGTATATTTTGGTAGAAGTTATGGCAACACCGTAGTGAGTGATCGTCTTTGCGACAATGTTTGCGGAATTCCCCGGAACGCGATCATTATGGACTTCCCCGGATTTAGTTTACCTATACTTATACATGTTATCTATGAGTAAGTTACAGATATGACAAGAAAGACGGCCGTTGTCGGCGTTGTAGTATTGTAATACTACATATACAATTATCAATCAATACATAGTATTAATCAGACTTGCAGAATGTATGTTCGCGTAAAACTTTACAACTGCTGGACCGATTTTAATGCGGTTTACACTGTTAGATAGAGCGTGAAGAAATGAAGGAGGTTGTGTAACTTTTAATCTTTCGAAAAGGATGTTAAAATATAACTCTAACATTTATTGTGAGTATGAATAAATAAAATGTGTTAACCTTTTAAGTGCTGCTGTCGGACCAGTCCGACAAAAAAATTTCTCCCTCAACGCCGGCTGCCGGACCAGTACGACAAGACTAGTTGTACTAGTTTAGACCTTATAATTGAAACAAATAATATCAGAATGGTTTGTGTCGTATGTCAAATGAATGAGAAAGAACCAACCTATTCATTCAAAGATTTACAGTCTACAAGAACAATACTCATTCATGTGACCACCATTTAAAAATATTCGCGCTCTTCCTCTCCTGTGCTGTTGACGTACGAGTACTTTTCAGTGTGTTTTGTTTGTGAAATCCTACAAAGAAGTTATAAAATGGGTAAGTTATCAATTCTTTATACATTTTTTTTATATTTAAAAAAAACCGTGCACTAATCCATGCTTTAGTTTTTGAATAATTCGAAGACAAACAAAAAAAACCAATAACTTTTCCTACTATCCATTTTTCATGATTTTTTTTCTATTTTATTACTTTATTATTTTATCCTAGTTTTAATTCAAACTTACAGCAAATTTACGAAAGAAGTTAGATTTTACAAAATATTTGTGCTTAGAAAGATACTTTCACAATAAAATTCAAATATTGTAGGCAAACCGCAAAACATTCGCAAGACGCACGCACACATGCAAAACATGACGTTTATGTGTGTGCGTGAATTGCTCCGGCTATTGAACAAGGGTGTTCTTTTTATCTACTGTTTTGAAGGAAGTGTTGTTCTGATTTGAAGATAATTATTTATTGAGAATTTATGTTCAACTATGAACGTACTTAGGTACCTATATTTTTTAGCATATGTTAGGTGATAGGATAGGATTAGATTTGTCCAGTAGTGATGCTGTTGCATCGATAGGTATATGTAATCGATTATAAATACAGTCGAACCTGGGTAAGCGAGAATCCAAGGGACCCAAATGTTATTCTAGCTTATTAGAGGTTTCTCACTAAAGCAGTTTGTCACCTACGAAGGTTTGAGTGTAGTTACTCTAGAGATTAACAAAAGTCGAGAAACATGGTACAAAACAAAATACATACATAATAAGTACACATTTTGTTTTTAGATACATATTTTATTTATTCGAAGAAATCAGTTAATTTTTTCTGTGTGTCGTTCTTACAATTATGAATCTGTTTTTCAATTTTATAAAGTTTATCACAAATAGAAGAATCAATTTTATAAATTCTTTTTTTATATATAAAAGGTAGATTCTGGCAAGTTAAAATTACTCATAATTGCGTTTCTTGGCTTGTTTTACAATTTTAAGTTTATCATTCAACAAAATCACTTTTACTTTTCGTTTTAACATTTTGAGGGAACAACGTCAAACGCAGGTAGGGACAAGCGCACATGTGCGCTGCAGCCATTGTCGTTTTCGATGGAATTACAAACAATTCCATATAAAACAATGACGCTTTGGCTTTCTTTGTTAACAAAAAAAGGATATGGTTTGGCTTGAACTTTGAGTTGCGAGTTTTGAGATGTGTATTGAAATATTATTGTAAATAGTCTCGATGGCGCAAGTGTTAGTTAACGCGTTCGGCTGCGATCGTTAATGTTAAACAACTTTCGCAGTGGTCGGTCATTGGATGGGTGACCAAAAATTTACTATCTCGAGCCCCTCCGTGCTTCAGAAGGCACGTTAAGCCGTTGGTCCCGGCTGCATCTGCAGTCATAAGCACCCACCAATCCGCACTGGGCCCGCGTGGTGGGTCGTGGCCCAATCTCCCTATTCCATCTATGTGGAAGGCCTGTGCCCCAGCAGTGGGGACATTACTAGGCTGATTATGATGATAATTGATTTTTCCAGTAATGATGCTGTAGTAGGTATCGATATATGCAATCGATTATAAATATCGATAATTTTGAATTTATCGGTAGAAATTATTATTTGTAGCAACATTTTTTACGCAGCAATTGATGAATAAATATTTTGTCAATAGAGTTTTTAAAGTATCGATATCCTATTATTGGAAATAAATGAATACAGTTTTATTTGGTCTAGGTAAAAGTTTTACGTTAATTGGTTTTACATGTCGTTAATTTGGTTATAGAAATTTCACCGAGTTCCCGCCCGCAATCACCAGAAGATGTCCAGAGCCCAAACTTGGTGCCTGGGTTCCAGGTTTCATCTACCCTGGGGGGCAACATAAATCTGCAGCCGGACGCTGTGCTGCTGCAGCGGTGTTCAAGAGGACTAGTCCCTTGGAGACCAACCCGTAGTCCGGTGATGGCATCCCCCACTTCGGGCCCTTCTTCTTCTTCGTCTCCGTCCTTGAAACGCCGTCGTAATCAGCGATCGCTTAAGTTTGGGCGATCAAGACGACCGCTGACTACGGCGGAAATTGAAGCGGTCATCGCAGACTCCGGCAGCGACATTGAAGAAAGTGAAGGCGAAGATGACACTACGAGTAAATTTATGGCGGATGTCGGAGAAGCCGTGGAAGGCGACGAGACGAGTTTGTCCTTCAACGTGGAGAGCATGAGGCAAGTCGTAAGCGATTTGCGTTCTGAAATTATTCAGGTGGAAGAGGCAGAGGAAGAGGTCCAAGGGAATTGGGGTGGTGGTGACGGCGACTCATCTCAGTTTTCATGGTCAGAGGACTTTTCGTCGTTCTCTGGGCAGAAAACTGAGTTTAGGGGATCTCCTGGCCCTACCCAAATTTCCCTGGACCCCGTAGATATTTTCGAATATTTTTGGGGGGGAGACATAATTAGCACGATAGTGGAAGAAACTACTTATAGAAGAAAGATATTATCAACAGTGTCGATATCTTTTTTGGAACAACACTGGAGTCGGAAAACAAATACCAATATTTAAAAAACTTTCGATAGTATCAATTTCAATCATTTTTTTTTGTCGTATGAAAATTCGTAATGTAATTACAACGCATTACGACAAATATTGCAAAACTATTGTTAAAACTATTAACTTTCTACACAGAAAGTATCTATTTGTCAGTAATATCGATAATTTTGATTTCTTCAATAAGTATTATGTAAAATAGTTTTGATATGAAGAATAAATTAGCTCACGATTATATTAGTATCGATATCGGTGAGTGTCACAACATTAGTTTACCAAAGACGTAAGCAATATAAACGAAATTATTTCTTAGATACTGAATATAACTATGAGAAGACTTCTTTTTCATTTTGTAAATTAGATATTATTTATAAGTAGGTTAAGTTAATTTGTATTCAAATTTTATACATTAGGTAGTTTTTAAGTTGTTGTTTTTATATTTCTATAAGTTGAAATATATAATTATGTTTATTGTTATTCAGATAAGTACATACATACCTAACACTAGAAGAAAATTTAATATAATAAGTTCGTAAACATTAATTATGAATAAATTATTATTTTGTAAATTTCAGTTTTATTTTTAAACTTCACTAATCTTACTTTGGAACCCGCTGTATACGCTCTTGTACGTACACAGCGGAAGGTCGACTTTAGACGTAAAACTTGAGTAATAAGTAGCCACTTAGAGAATTTTTATTTATTGATTTTGTTTGATAAGACATAATGAAACGCATATCAATAGAATGCTCATTTATAGAAGTTTTTTTAACTGTAAATAAAAAAGCATTGTATGGTAATTTTAGAAAAAACTGTGCACAAAACAATGCTCATGACTTTTTGCGTGAGTTTGATGTCTGATCTTGAAAACTTGGTAATTACTGTTATATTATTTGCTAATACGATACAGTTTGGTCGTGATATTCAATATATGTAAATTACTGATATTTCAAACGAAAATTTGCTAAGTTATACCTTATAATAATGACACAGGACAATTTCGAAAAACCGGGATCAACCCGCGCGAATTGCTTCCGTGGCAAAATTTTAGCGTTTTTTCAAACTCCAAAAAGTTGTAGTTTTATATTTACAATATTTATAAAAATTACCAATTTGTTTAGGGAATTTATGTTTAATCTAATAAAAATATGTTTTTTAGTGAAAATGACATTTGGTAGCTAATATATTCCATCTTTTCTACAAAGTAGTTAATTTTTCAATTCTTCTAAGATCAAGCTCATATTTCTGCTTCAAATATAAACAAAACGTGTTTATTTAGTGTTAATCAGCTAGTTTATTACATTATCTTTCTGATAATATAAGCATTGCCGAGCTTTGTTAAGTCTAAGTCGTAAAAAATACGATAAGATCGAGTAGAGTGTCAAATG